ACAAGTTCAAATGTTTTCGCGCTTTAACTGACGCCATGTTATTTTTGTCAAATATTACCTATCGTGCACAACCAGTTGTTTATGTAGCTTTTTATTTTATTTATTTATTTTTTTTACTTATATTGATGTTCCCTGATTTTCATGCTTCATTGTATTAAGGTAAAGTTGGTTTTATATTCACACATTCATTTATTGACAACTTGTGACACACTATATTGTTTACCAATCTACTTAGAATACTCGTTCTGAAATGGCATATACTGTATTTATGACTTAAAAGCAAGGATGGGCTTTTTCGTATGAAGGGCCAAAAATCAAATGTCATTGAGAGCCGTGGGCCGAAGATAAATATACCAAACAATTTTACGTTAAAGTTGCCAAGGGTCATTTCCTTATTTATTTCACAATATTTAAATATAAATTGAAAACATTACTACAAATTGTGTGACCTAATACAGTATAACTTTTTAAATTATAACTTGGAGCAATAAAAAACATAAACAGTCACATTTATAACACGGTGGAGTTCAATGCTGAATACACAGGTCCAGCAGAATTTGCCTTTGACTTGATTTGCTCACCAAATTCTCTGCATTGGTGGGTGACATTGTGCAAAATCAGATCAATTTACACCATTTAATTGAAACATTTAATTTCAGTTTCAGCTTTTAACAATAAAACATCGACTATATCTAAAACATCCCTTATAGTTCTCCCTCTCCTTTCTCAGATGGGATGGCGGGCCAAATCAAAGATTACCATGGGCCAACTTTGGGCATCTCTGCTTTAAAGCAATATTAGCTTTATTTAATTGACTGTAAGTTACTTTGGTAGTCATTGGCTGCTAACATAAGTTACCTAATTAGAATTTGCAAACAATAGTTTTCTGAAAATATATTATTAAGGGGAAAGTCTGAATGTGTGAATAGAAAACCAAATTTACCAATTAGCTGCATTTCCACTATTGGGCCAGTGTGAGCCAGGGCTTTTATCGGGCCAGGCCGGGCCAATCGCCCGGGAAGTTGAGCAGTGAGGCCGAAATCATGTCGCGTTTCCACTGTCGGGCTAGTAGCTCGCAGCGCGTCACGCAAACCCCGCCCCAGAACATCCCCTGAATCGAATGTCACTTCAGCGGGAATCAGGCAGATAAAGCACACCACATCATCACGAAACTATTAAAATTAGGACAACCAAAACAAACAAATGACACGTTACTGTGCAGCAGTACAATGTATGTCTATACGCACATGCCTGTGTGTTCTCATTCATCATATTCATTTACTCGCCGACCGACTGTTGACATTGAAATCCAGTGGTCTTGCCAATAACGGAGGGACCCAGCGCAGGGAGCGCACACCTCCATAATATAACACCACATATATAAAACTCTCCGTTAATAACTCTATATAAAATGTATTTTATAACATCCTCGCTGTCCAACATTCATCCCAAATGCTCTGGAGAGAACTGAAACATGAACTTTCCCCTATAAGCTTTATGACACTTTATAGGGGATTCCCCTTTATTTAAAGATGTTGCTTATTAAGTAAAGGAAAGTGTTCAGTGTTTCAGCACATAAGAGCAGCACGTAAAAAAATATAGCCTATATTACGTTGCGCTCAGCATCTATGCACTAATAAAGCTCTTTATAAATTTAAAATTTCCTTTTTTAATTTTACCACGTCATATAAAAACATACACACTTGTTTCAGGACACAGAACAAATTTTGAACTTGCAGTTTTCCCCGATGCGTCTGTAAAGTGCTGCGCAGCTGGAAGACAAAAAGGTTGTCTATTTCTGCTTTTACTCACCCCGAAAATGCTGTTTGCATGATTTGATTAATATCATTGTATCCAAATACTTTATCAATAATATTTGAAAAATTCTCCGATGTTTGTTTTTTATTCCTTAAATCTTTTTTTTCAGAGAGGCTTTTGAAAAATGAAAGTTTAATATGGCTTTAAAACAGTTTGATATAGTACCTAATTGTTATAGCTAGCTTTTGTTAGTTTTATATTGGTTTATTTATTTAATGTGATTTTATTATATCTGATATTTGTAATTCTTTAAATTATTTCAATATAGCTTAGGCTATTTTACCTAGATATGACACTATTGTTTTGAGCCTACAAAAGTGGACACGAAATTTGTAAAGTTTAATGTTTTTTTTTTTTTTTTTTGTATTCATATAGTGTATTATCTCCAAAATAAATAAAAACAATTGAAAAGAAAAGAAAAAAGCCGCTCGCGGCATCAACAAAGTAAAGTTTATTATGCGTTATTGAAACATCAAGGAGGATGCAGCAAAGAAAAGTCACTTATAAATTAAAACTACTTTATTATTTTATGCAACAGCTTTACATTTAAAAGAGAAACATAAGGGCGATCATATGCAAAAAGACAGATGTTTTCTTTCTTTCCCTTATTTATTTACTTGTTTATGTGTTTGGCACATGTACTCGTGTGCGATTGGAAAACTGTGCCCGCCTCTTCTTTCACTCCGCCCCGAAGCCCCGGCAGGCCCTCTTTGGCCCAAGGTATTCGGCGGGCCGTAAAAGGCCGGCCACTGTCCCCAAGAAAGCCCCGATTAGGCCCCAGAAGTGACAGTGGAAACGCGACTGGCCTTGGCTCGCTGGCTTGAGGCGCGATAGTGGAAACGCGGCTAGTGTGTATGGGTATTTCCCAGTACTGGATTGCAGCTGGAAGGGCATCAGTGCATGAAAGGTTCATACTCTCAATCTTTTCTGCCTCTTGTTCAGACTACCTAATTTAAATAAGCTGAAACAACATGATTTAAAGGGCCATGAAACCCCTTCGTTTCAGCAGGGTGTTTTCACACCTCTACTTTGGAAAATGTCAGAAAAGTGGGCGTGTCCAGCTCTGTTTAGGGGGGAGTGTCGGAGGAACTAAAAAGGGTTTGGTGTGGGAGCGTCTATTTGGGCACCCGCTGAGTTTCAGAGTCAAAACACACACACACTGGAGAAAGTGACGGTGTTTACATGGACATCTGTAGTCGAATTATTTGCCAAATTATTAAATGGTGGACTTTAACTGCAGTTTGGCTCTTTCATTCAGGGAATTAATTCATGCCCCTCGCGACAAACGAGATATTTGATTTGAGGAACTGCTCTAAGCGTGTATTTTTCATGCAATGTTTGATACCGCACGGCCAATGAGAGAAAAAAAACCTCAGCATTTCCCGGAAACTTAGATGCACACGGAAGGTAGCGTCAGAAAGCCGCATGTGTTATTCCGGTCACAAAATGCAGTGAAAATCCTACACAAGGTTAAAGTTTGGTTGTGGTGCTAACATGTTTACACTCGGTGCAAGGGTTAACTTAGTTCGATACGAACAAACTGAATAAACAAAGAGCACTGGTCGCTCACTTACCAAATCTGTAGAGACAGGACAATCACCAGCAACTAGAGCCGCATCTTTATTAAGAGGAGACTACAAACGAATCCGTATCTCAGCGTTTGCAGATGAGAACAGCTCTCAGGTAAACAATAATCCTCCTTAGACACGTAAGTTATTGTTGTCGAGCGTCGCGTTCACTGTTAATCCACACGTGACTCTAGCTGCGCTCACAGAGAGAAAATGAAAACAAAACTTCACTGCAGCAAACTATAAAAGCAACACTTCACGCTTGTTTTGCCAACACAACGTGGCGTCTCTGTCATCTAAACACTGTGACAGTAATGAATATTAATTGCACAATAGAGCGTGCTGATTGGTTTGAACCAAGCCTTACTTATGCATTAATGCAGCACACTCTGAGACGTAATAAGGCAAACTCTGGCTCAGACGGCCAGTCTACATGCTGGAATACACGCTATTATGTCATGGCCGTGACGCAGCTTCAAAAATTTGTTTCAAACCGGATCGTTTTATGTGCACTTCACTTAAATGTGCTAAGTTAAATTAATTGATTCGTGTTGGCACAATAATAATTTAATAGCGAGTGATAATCCAACACAATCTCACAGCAATTCATAACTTTTTGAACACACTGCATTACTTGCATTTAGTCTAATGGTCGTATATTTTGTCTTGCCTGAGCTTGAAATAACTTGCTTTATCTGTTGGCTGTTGGAAAATGATGCATGTATAATTTTCTGACTGCTGTGTACAGGTAATTGTATAGTGTCTACCTGTTTGGGTAAAAACATGTTGGTGACGAATTACCGAATTTTAAACGTTCAGGATGCGCATGCATCGAAGTCACAGAAAATTACAGCGAGGTAATGACATCCGATGGGGTACAAAGTTTGTTGTTGTATTAGAGATAAGTTATATTAATTATATAGTATTTGCATAAGTTTAATTCACCATGTTTAACTGTTTGTGCTGAAATCATTGCCGCAATCAACAACGGAATGTGTATGATTCACCATATCGTGAACTTTCCTGATATAACACGAGAACTGCAGAGTCCAGCATTTCTAATTAGGTCCTCACTCCATTCAGCTCTTCCGATGGCTGTTAGCCAAAGACGTCTAGGGTTGACATCAAAAGCAGTGTGGTGTACGGTAAAATGTACGTTTTCTATTTTTGGAATTTGGCATCCTACCGCACAACACCATATGTTTGCTATTGCTACCGTTTTTTCTTTTCAACCGGTATGTGTGGTTAAACCTGTGTGACGTCACATGTGAAGTAAGTTGGTAATTCCCCCATATGTACATTTCTATTTACTTTGGATGTTGACATCATTTGTTGATGTGTTGTGGGAAACTGACTCATTTCGTTGATCGCTCTTTGTTGTTAAGGAAAAACTGTTCTTATTAACCTTGATTGTCTTGTTAATTAAACAATCAGATTCTTTCATTCATTCTATTTCAGTTATGTATTTATCTGTAATAATATAGAGCTGTTAAATCACACTCGATCAGTTCAGAAATTCACCTTCATACTCCCTTATGATGATTAAACTGACTGTATAGATACTGTGTAGTCAAAGAAATATGACACAAATGTTGAATAATGAAGTAATCAGAATAGTTTTGTAGGTTACAACATGTAACACCATGATTTATTAGGCAGGAATCTAAAACAATCATTTTCATTTGATACAGTCTTGATTTTAATAATTAATTACAAGAAATTAGGCTCAAACGACATTACACACAATTTATTTGGAAATAGGAAAGATGGTGTTGTAAAATACAAACAGGTGTAATGCAGTTATGTCAAACATCCTCCTGTGGTAAACATATTCTCGACTGCAGTCATGCCGATGTAGCGATCTCTGTGTTCAGCAGATTTACTTTCATCACTTGTAGGCCAGTATTCAATCCAGGTCTGCTCTCCTATGACGTACTGCAGACTAGAAACAACACGAAAGTAAAGACAAAACACTCATGAGTGGTTGACTTAGGGGCCATTCACAATGTAAACATGCTGGTCAGATGTCTGCGAAAGTTTTGCTCATGTTTCGTGTCTTTTGAATTTTTGATTATTTTTTTTTTAGACGCCATGTCAAGTTAAAAGATCTTTTAACTTTCACAAGCAGTGCAGCTCATCATTGTCAGCTTCAAAAGCAGTGAACAATCAGAAGAGTTCGGAGGTGGTACAACAAGATATTCTGAGTTATATGATGTCTCTTCAAATGCTTATCATAACATAATGTTTTTCTAATTCTAATTGGTGCGTTGCTGCCGTTATTACATCATGTTCATAATATTGCATCATATGGACTTCGCAGTGCGTTGCGCTGTTTAAAACCCATTTCTGAGTGCCGCATCTTGCGTTTTTAGAAGACATGTTCACTGTGAATGAGCCCTTACACATGCATCTAGGAGTATAAATAGGATGATTCTTTAAAAATAGCTTTTTTGGAGGGAGGATTTTTTGAAAACCCTTTAAAACACATCATCAATATATTAAACCCTTTATAGAAAAAACCTAAGCTTGACTGTAGGGATGCAACGATTAACTGATTTCACTATTAACTGCGCTTTAATTTGTCATGGTTAATTAATCATAAAGGCTTCTCAACGCCACATTTTTGCACAAAATGCTGCAACCTAAAGTTATGCCAACTGTGCGTTAGTTTCGAGCTTGTACACCGAGGCTAATACGCATGCACACTGGATAAACTGTGGCTAAGGGTATAAATAAGGGTCGTTCACATGTTGTGTGTTTTGTATGCGCAAGTTCGTTATTTCTTTTTTTGAGTGCATATTGGGAGTGACGTGCACAATGCATTCACGCTTTCCAGGCACATCTAAGAAGCACCACATTGTCGCAAGTTTAATGATGTACAGAACGGAACGCCTCAATAAATCTGATCTGCCTGTTTGCATGACAGTCGCATTGTCACATATCCGATCTATATCTGATTTATTTCCACATATGAAGGAGGCCTGAGACCGATCTCTGAATATCTGTATGCATGTGCTTTTTTCGTGTTTACACGGTCATAGAACAGATCCGATCTGTCATATGAGCAAAAAATCAGAATTGGGTCATATTTAACTGGCAGTGTAAACAGGGCCTTATATTCTTTAAACCAACTTCCCCTGTAGGTGCTGTTCTGCTGTTGAATATTAAATATAGAAAAATGATTGCTACCGCCATAATATCACAGTATCCATATCGCAGACAACTTCAATAAATAACATTTCATTTTATGAGCCAATAATTTGGCTTCTACATAGGTTATCCAAATCTGACCAATCAGATCACGCCTTTACTATCTTTATCTCCGCCTTATAGTAGGTGATGTAAACTGAACCTAGAGTTGAAAATAAACACTAATGCCGCGAGACGAGAGAGGAAAATTACAACAGCCAATCAGAATCTGAATTTATTTTTATAGATTTTAGTTTATTCAGGGTATCTTAAAGTCTAAATGTTTGCACTTTATTTAATTAGCCCAGGAAAACAAATATCTATTACCTTTTTATTTTAGCATGATCAGTACATAAATAAAAGATTTTTAAAAAGTAGCTTATAAAATAGTTAGTTATATCGTAAGAAGTATCGTTGTCATAATGCTCAATTGTATTTTCCCAGTATCGTACATCCCTGGTCTCATATTTGAATTGATTTTTAACCACTTCACAATTCATCGTTACATTTGTAACCTGAAGTATATCGTGTGTAAATCAGGACACCTACCTTCCCCCAAGGGTCGGCAGATCAACAGAGTTTCCCATGATGAGATACGACTTTCCTTCAACCAGTCCTAAACTCACTCGGCAACTGGGACGAGCCAAAAATTGTTTCACTTTCCCTTCAACATCCGTATCAGTTCCTACAGGACAGTACAAGTTCAATTGGAGTTTATTTGTATAGCTCGATTCACAATAATTATATTTATCTATTTATACAGTTCAAATCTGAAAAGTTAAGGAGTTATGTATAGCAGTATACACATGCGGTTATGCAGTATTTAGTGTACATCCAACAAGCTGATGTCCATGTGTATAATACATGTTCAGTGAAGTGTGTTTGTGTGTAAAACTGAATGCACTGTAACCTGATGAAACAGGATTCAGACACATTTCTAATGCATTTCGTGATCGGCATTTAAACACATTGAGGTCGTACCTTCTTTCACCGTCTTCTCCACCTTCATGTGATAGATATCGGAGTCTTGTTTCAGGTCCATCTTCACTAATTTCGCTTTATAAACTGTCAAACATACACGTATGTTAATGGCATAAAGAGAATGGGTTTACAACTCAACTATGTTTGACTGTTTTACACAAGTGTTAACACATTTAATGCCTCTTTTTGTTCTATACCTGAATGACTTTCTATCTTAAGTAGAACAATATGTGATTTAAAAATGACATTTAAAGGGTGCATATTATTACGCCTGCACAATATATCGATTCAGCATCAACATTGCAGTGTGTGCATGATCTACAATAGTCTATGGTTGTGCCGGTAGACGATAGTATCGTGTATCTACGATAGGCAAAGATAAAGAGACCTATGATGATTTTAAAGAGGATATTTAGCTCGTTTCGCACTAATGTAGACCTATTACATATTTTAATTGCATTATTAAATGAAATAAATAGTAATATTATTTTAAATTATCATCATTAACAATAAATTAACTATAAATAATGTGACAACTTCAGCGGCTCAGATTACCATCACTTGACCGACATTTTTGGACAAAAATGTGTCATTTTTATTTGCTCTCTTGCGCTCTCTCTCTCTCTGTCTCAGCAGCAGCAGTTGAATGCCCGAGCTGCACGTCCACATCTCATAGCAAATTAGTTTGCAACTTGGTTGCATTGAAATAATAGACTAAATAGCAAAACTGGATTTAATTAACACACAAGTTAAATATTGATTTGTAAAAATTAAACAACTGAAGACGAAAATGAAAGAACTCTGAGACCAGCTCAAATGTTCTGTAATTAAATGTGTTGTGGTCATTGGTCATTTAAGACTCCTTTAAAACAGCACACCTGCATGATTCTCTCTTGCTTTCACAAAAAAGTTATATTTTATATCCGTTACTAATAGCCTATTTAAGTTTTAAGGGGGCCTGAAGCATGTTTTTTTTAGTGCATGCATGGACTGCTTCTTCAAATACACCGAATATACATACTTGTCTTATTTGTGTTTAATTCGATAGAATGATAAACACGGACATGCGCATTTTTCAGAAAATAACCTATTCATTTAATTTAAAAATATGTTAGACCTGTATTTATTATATAGTCTAAAATCTATTTTATTTCTTTATTTAAACTAGCCTACATTCAATTAAATTACAGTCTGTGTTTTACCATTCCTTTTGGCATTAAAGAATTATTGAACAGACTATTAATCACTTATCAAAGAACATTTTACTGAGCTCAGTGAAAAGTTTTAAGTCAAATAGGCTATTTAATACTAAAGCAATAGGCTAGCCTATTGCCGACTCGCCGCAGCCATGTCTAAAATGAAACTCTTATCAGAAAACAGTTAACAAACATGCCAATATATATAACACTGCGCACCCCCATGCGATAGAATCAAGTATTGGCGATCTCACATGGTGGCGATATGGCGATCTGAAAATTTTGTATATCGCCAAACACTACAATAGTCGCAACTTTTACTGAGCATCTGAAACATTAGGGCTGATTTGTGGATGACTTGTCCAGTTGTTCATTCACACCATTTAGAAAATAATCAATATTTTAATAGTTAAAGACTGAAGTAAAGTTGAAATATTAGGTTTTCTCAAAATTAACTGTGAATGAATGAATACAAACTTTACATTAATGTACTTTTACAGTATCATAACCCTTAAAAACTGGTTGATTAAAATCAAATTTGGGTCAAATATGAACAAACTTTTTTTGTTGAATTTAAGTGAACAACCCCAAATTAACCCGATGGTTGGGTCTCTTCACATCTGACCGAGATTTGGTTTGAAAACAAACCAACATGTTCTTGTTTATAGAGTGTCCTGTCAAAAACAGTTTCAGAAGTGAACAAAACCAGTATAATGTACAGTTTAAAGTCAGTCATGATGAGCCAATAACAGTAGAAACTGAATGTGTTTACTGTAATCCAGATGGGGTTCACAGGCTTTAATCAAGCGCTTAGATTCATCAACATGGTTTTTCTTTTGGTAACTGCAGTTTTCTGTGTTCAGAGAAGTCAGAGTTTATTATTATTCTCAATAACATGAATAAAATCATAACTGAATGTTTACATTGGTAATACCTTCAGCACACACACACAGGTCTCCTTTACACAGTCTGTATAGGGCGGAATCTTCTCTTTCAGGGTGGTAGTACTTTTTACAGCGGGCATCTGGATCAGATTTAAACACACACACACACACACACACACACACACACACACACACTGTATGTTAGATGACACTGTAAATGACTAATGATATGCAAAGGAAATTTATGCCATATGATCATCAGGGTTCAACGGTGAGTATTTTTTTCTTCAGATTTCCTGGTTTAGATTTTCACTGGCCCCAACAAAAAAAGTTGATAGCTATTTCGCAACCACATATTTTAAATAATATGTCAAAAGCCAAACATACCTTCAGCTTACCTTTTCTTTAAATACAACTGAGAATGTAATACAACTACAATTGTGATGTAATTACATTTGGGGGGTGGGGGACGTTGGCTAGAATTATGCATTATAGGCTTAAATGTAGATAGAAATAACATATGAACCGAGATGTTGATCTTTTTTCGAGGTGTCAGTGCAGAAATACAGCATATTATAAGATTAAAATATGGAACAATTGTCAGATGGTAATTTCAGTCAATTTTCCTAATGGATAATCAGCATTTGGTGATAGTTCAGCACGCTTTTACTTTCATATTCAACATGAAACACACATTTACCGGTAGGATTGACATCTCGCCCTACTCATATTTGTCTTCATATAGGCGTATATGTGGCTATTACACAATCATAACATTGACAAACAGTCGCAGCTAAATTAAACTTTAGTGACAAGGCAGCACCGGCCCGATCGGGCCAGTAACGATTCTGCCTACTGTCCCGAGCATCTCGCACACTGGCCCCGGGCCATTGGTCAGTCCTTATTGTCGAGCCCTGACAATAAAAGGTTGTGCTATATTAAAAAAAATTCCCCTCATGATATAAGTCATGCTGTATAACATCCTGTGTCAATTCAATAGATCATATTAGTGCCATCAGTCAATTTTATATATATAAAATAACGCTTTTTTGGGATGTGATTAATCAGGATTAAGCGTAATGCGTGCTTGTGTGAATACCGTGTGTGTGGTGTGCATACAGCAGCTTACCGGGTGAGTAATACTCGTATATGGTGACAGAAGCAGGTTGAAGCAAAGCCACATTAAAGGTCTTGTGCATTCTGAAGACAAGTTTTTCTGATACTTCATGAGAAACCTAATGAGACAGCAAAGCAGATTCATTATACAACACTGTTTTAAATGTCCCCTTTGTAATGGGCTCTATGCACAGCTAGAGTTTTAAAGCCAACGATAAACTTCCTTAATGTGACTATTTTCAATTTCACCAGGTTGTTTTTACAGCATCGATGTTGTAATGTAATTACAAAACATTCAGTTAAATAGACTTCAGCATTCATTTAGTTGTTCAAGTGTAAAACGAGATGAAAAACCGGTGTAACCACTAGTCAGTAGCAACAGGCTAGCGCAGAAATTCCATCAAAAATACTGGGGTAAAATAAACTGTCCTATTTAAAGACATGGCAGGGGTAAACTGAGTCTAATGCAGTGCGTCTCGACTGATCTGAGACCCACTTCATATCGTATATGTAACAGTCAGTGAGGTTCAATGATTTTTTTTAAAAATCAGTTCTTAAACGTGACAATTTTGTAACGGAAAAACATTTTGGAGTCACTGTCACTAAAACATGGAGACATTTTGTAACTGGAAGCCCTTGGGCTGCCTGGCTGAAAATTAAAAGTCCATTTGGTGCTCTCATATTATGCTTGTGACATACTAACATTATCACAAAATATTGGATTGGAGAATTGGGGGAAAACTGTGGACATTGTTCTTTTTTTGACAGTTTCTCTAATTAGCATGTTATGTTTATTTCAGTAATATCTGGCAGAAACAGCATTAGAAATGTATATGCTAAGCCCCTTTCACACAGTGATACCGGTAAATATTCTGAAAATTTCCGGAACAAATTTACCGGTAAATTACAAAAAGCTGTTCACACAGACGAGGATCATTCACACATCCATACCAGAATACAGCTTAATTCTGACATCATTAACCAGAAATGAGCTCTAAACTGCGCTTGTATTTGTACAAATAGAAGGGGTCGGGCTTTTGTTGATGGCTTCACATTATTTAAAGCTTTAGCCTTCATGCAGCTGCTTTGCGAGATGTATACGTGTGTGTGCTGGCGCTCACTGGAGCACTCCTTCACTTCACGTGCACATGCGTAAAGCGACTGAAGTAGAGCTTGAAGGTAAACTCACAGCTGTTGATCATAAGCATTTTATCGATATTGTTTTCCACACTAAAAACTAGTTGCCGCTAACAAGGAACATGGAAAGGTTATCTGACTAACATCTAGCAGCTAAATGTGTCTGGAAAAGTATTCAAAGGCTTTTATTTTCATAAACAGCGCAGACGTGAATGCTTCCGAATGTTCTGGTTGGCTAAAGGAGACTCTCATGTCAGCGCGTTCTAGACGTGAACACGCTCTTTCCGGCAATTTTACTTTTGCGTTTCCACACAGAGCAAATTCCGGCAAATTACTGGTAATGTTAGAACTTCTCTTTCCTTGCCAAACGAATTGCCAAAACAAATTTACCGGTAATTTCAAAAAGGACCTGTTCACACACACACACAACTGCCGGTAATTTTCCGAAAAGGTCTGTATGTGTGAAAGGGGCTCTAGACTGATTATTTTTAGCTGAATACTTTGAAACACTATTAATGCATCAAAACAAAGTACAAATGTTATTTAAAAATTTTGTTTGGTTAAATTTTTTTTATTTTTTAATTTTTTAAACAAGAGTTAAAAGATTACATGTATTGTGCACTGGAAGTTTACCTACATTAACATTTCTAACTAAATGTTATTGAGTTTTAGTTGTCAGTCTTTATATATAAATGAAGTATGCTTGACTGAATTGCAACTCTTGTTTGTGTCTACAAAAACAGCACTTGATTTAGCCTAGCTGATAGAGAACTAAAGCATTGCAGCTATACTGTGCACTGAAATACCTTGTTTAAGTAGATGATGAGGGATCCTCGCTCTGAGAGCACTTTATTCTTTTCATATTTCTGAATGTATCTCTCCTTCCCTGTGGACAACTGCAGGCAAGAAAAAATGAATCAATCAACACACAACATCATCATATTATTATGTCGTGTCTGTGGATGTGTGTTACACAGCACATTTGTTCTCCATCACAATACCTGTTTAAGATCAGCTTCATCGATATCAAATCCTGTTGGCAAGCCAATGTCCAGAATCGTCATGGTGGCGTCATTTTTTTTGTTTTTGTAGCTGTGAATATTGAGAGCAGGTTATATCACCAGGCTTTGCAGGTCTTTTGCTTCATCTAGTCAATTTATTTTACACTAGAAGTGCCATCCTGAGTTCAAAGTATAATTATATATAACAGTATATAAATTTATAACAGTATATGTGTTCGTCCCAAACTATTACAGTACAGAACTGATGGTTCGGTTCATGCTCAATCGCGAATACTGTTGATCCAGATGCGCAGTGACTGTTAAGCCTGGTTTATACTTGACATATCCGCTAGTTCACTTGAGTGCGCGCAGCACATATGATGTCATTGTGGTGTTTGTGGAAGTTTGTTTTTGATGCGCGTGACATGATTTCGGCTGAACTTGAGCGAACAGCTCGCACGGCACTACATTTAATTTGAGTTGAATATGAAACACTTTGAAGAGATCTTGGAGACATCTTTATGATTCGTGGTAATAGAGATAACCAGATCAATAATTCTTGGCCAGAAATTGCCACAGCCGTGGGAAAGCAGGAAGTTTTTGTTAAATGGTTTGCAAAAACCTTAGGTATAAGTTTGTTAAAGGCAAAAGAGGCCATAGAAAGTGCAGACGCAGGTACACAATTACAAAATATGTTTTTCCACCAGTCATAGGTTTAGCACTGATGTATATATTACAATTTAATATTTACAAAACTATAATTAAGGAACAAGTTATTTTTTTTAATAAACAGAGAGAACAGTTATCATAAGATAAATTATAACAGATAACATTAGAAGAGAACAGAAGCTAACCAGACAGTAATGTGTGAAGTGTGGAGCAGGCTAAATCACAAAAAAACAAACAAACAAACAACTCATGTTCTCCTGTCAGTAAAATGTTAATAAACTTTAAAAGCTAAAACTGTCCGAGATATGAACAAAAACAAGTATAAATTATTGGTGGAGAGTACATATCCAGCTTTAGAGTGAAAAAAAAACCACAGCAGTGCAGCCACTGAGCAGCCGTTCACAAAGAACGCTTATTTAAGTCTGAAAACACGAGATGCAGTGCTCATAAGTGTTTCTGTAGTCGTTGTCATGCCAACTTTGCTACACAGAAGCTCTGTTTTGTGATTGGTCCACTGCTCTGTAACTGACAGTAATGAGCGCTGCGGGTAAAGGTTGAAAGTCTATAAACCACGGTGCTCATGTGCGAGGAGCTGCATAAGACGCAAGTCACACACACATCTGTCAACCGTGATTACATAGAAAAACAATGGAAAATAAGATCTCTGTCACATCTGATGCACACCTGAGTTCTTTCTTTACACAAAAACACACAAGACTGAATCGTTGTTGTGCTTTTGAACAATTACTGTATTCCTTCGTTTCAGGGGAAGGTTGGGCTGAACCTTTGAAAGTTTAATACAGTCTTCTGATTGTGACGAAACACTTCTGTCTGTTCAGAATAAATAGAAAAGCAAGCATTGGGGAATTGTTATTATTCTTGTTGTACCATACTCGTATCAAACCATGACCACAAAATTTAGGTACAAACCAAACCATGAATTCAGTGTACTATGGTAAAAAAAAAAACTATGGTAACTAGGGCTGGGCGATATGGCAAAAATATGATCAAACTTTATTTTTTTTTTTATAAAGTTTGATCGTTTCACGATTTCAATTTAGATTTTTTTTACTTATTTATTTTTTTTATTGTGTAACTAGTAAACTTAAACATTACAAAAACATGGCTAAAGTAAAATTCTCTTCATAAGTAACTTGAAAAAGCATCTGGTTAAGGAACATTGTATTGTTAATGGCCATGCCATACATAAATTGGTCAACAAGGTGTAAATAAATGTAAAACAAAGAAGATTTGAATAAAAAAACGTGTAAATATTGCAGTTGCAGGAATACAGAAGTATTTTTTTGCAAGCTTTGCTGTGTCTAGGAAAGATTGGCTGTCAGCTCGGCTTTGACTTTGTCTTTTGGTTGAATGACAGGTTGTAATGCTGCTGCCTTTTTCTTAAAAAGATACAGTGGATGTAAAGGACTGAACATGGAAACTGTAAAGCCTAATTTAACCCTATGCGTGGAGTTGTGGACGTATAGCAGGAGCAAATACAAGCACTAGATGTGTGTCTAATATAAAATAATATATTTATTCTATTGATCTTTTCCCCCCTTTTAAATATCAATCAATTGATGCGCTTTGCACCACTCTCTGTATTATGCTGCCTGACTGCCTGTCTGGGTTTCAACTAGGTCCACTAAATGACGTCATGGGGGCGGGTATTTCACTTTTCATTGTTACAGCATCTCACCTCGGCTCGTCTTCAAACCAAACTAAGATCAGCGCGGTTCAAACTAAGATCGGCGCGGTTTTTCACATGGCAGGTTTTTATACGTCCTTCATACATGTTAAGAGATTGAGTTTATCGACTTTATAAGGGAATATGTCCTGACAATCCACACAGACATGACTTAGTAAAGCGTGAAGTCATGTAGGATTTCACTTGTTGCATTAGTCTGAATGTAAATCCCCCTCGTCAGGCAGTGCTGGAGTAGAGTGGACCAAAGCGCGTTTGATGCAAGGGTATTAACAAAAGTAAAGTACACAACTTAAGACACTTAAATGCTTGTAGTTGTTGTGTTTGCACCAGCTCTGCGATGCATGCCCACAGCTTCATGCATTGGGGTAAATTAGGCTGTCCAGTCTCTGGGTTCAGTCCGTCACCACCATGATTGATACCCAAAAAGGCAGTCAGGCAAAACACGCGACTTGACGACGGAATCGTCAGCCAATCAGATCGCTGTATGCAAATACACCAGCTCAGACAGTGGCCTATTGCTGACTAATTTCCTTTGCTGATGCTGCTACGACGATCGCGTCCGCCCCAACTTCAGTCACGCTCTTTGTCAAGCGTTGACGCTGAAGCCCCATGTGAATGGGCTGTAATACAGAGAGTGAACCAAAGCGCAATGGTGCAATTATAACGTGTCTAATATTTTATAAAAAAAATTGCGATACCTCGATTTAATATAAAATTTAATCGCCTACAAAAATGTAAATTCGAATTAATCGTAAAAACCGAAAAATCGCCCAGCCCTAATGGTAACCACCTACCACTCGTGCTCAGAAGCATACCACACATGTGGCAAAAATTAGATTTAATTGAACTCAGATTCAAGCAACTGAACACAAGTGTAAATTATTATAACAAATTAATTGACAGCTTGACATAAAAATAAGCTTATTGGAATATGTGGTCACATACAAGAAATCCAGGATGAAGTTGTACGTTCCATTGGTTCCTGGTTTTGCTAAAAGGAAACAGAAACATTTGGTGTATTTAGTTCAAACTAAAATGATAATCATTTCGAATGCGTTTTAGGCTTTTCACACTTGAAATAATCAACAGGTTCATTCTAAAATGAGTCGTGGGCTTGTTTCACATTGTTCATATTTTACCCTGGGTTAAAATAAATCCTGGGTATTCATATGCTGGTTTTCGCTGCACTCTCCTAAATCTGTGCATGAGGCCCATAATCCCTAGTGACACCATATATGAACTTTTCATGAGAATAAAATCTGAATAAAGTTGTCTATTCTTTATTACAGTTGCACGTTGTTGGTCACTATTTCACGTTTGTTAAGCTTTACAACTACTTTTTATGCAATGTATAAGATAGCCAGTGGCTAGCTCTCTGAAACTCTCACATGGTCCCCCACTGAAACTTGGTAGGGCTGCGCTCAGTCATTACCTAAATGGAAGACCACATTGGAAAGCTAGGTTCTAGCCGGAAATGGGGTTAATAAGACCAGTAGGTAGTGCTCAACCTGTGGTCGATGTGGGTCCTAATGCCCCATTATATTGATGGGGACTCTATACTGTTCAGTGAGCACTGTCTATCGGATAAGACGTTAAACTGAGGTCCTGACTTTCTGTGTTTGTTAAAAATCCTTCGTCCTTTATCCTGGCTAAATTTGCCCACTGTCTCCATCCCCATATCCTAGTTGATTTCATCACTCTGTCTCCTTTTCATTTATCAGCTGGTGTGTGGTGTGCAGTCTGGCGCAATATGACTGTTGCGTCATCCAGGTGGATGCTGCACACTGGTATTGGATGAGGAGATTCCTCCAAAATTTGTAAAGCACTTTAGGTGTCCTGAAAAGCGCAAGGTAAATGTTAGGAATTATTATTATTATTATTATTATTATTATTATTATTATTAAAGTGCAGTGTTTCTGTGACTGTACAAAGCATGTGAATGTGAGACACATGATTGGTTGTTGGTTGCTAATCATCTGCATAAGTTCAGCTCTGAAAAATGGGGTAACCTCTGCAAAAGGGATGAGGATTTACAACCCAGTGTAAAAGTGGTGGTAATAGGCTTCTAGATTACTATTGTTAAATGTTCCTCTACCTGGGGTTTAGACAGATGATAACCCAGAGTAAATGCAGTGTGAAACGTCTCAATGTATAGAAGGTACCACAGAAAGTAAATTACTGTCAATCTTACTTTCAGGGATTTTATCCAATTTGACACTCAGATCAAAGAAAGTACAGTCAGTCTTCTTCTCAAACGGTCTGGCGTAGTACAGCGTCAGAACCTGAAAACAGCAGAAGGTGTCAGATTTCAAGTTTGTATCATTCAGTCTTGCAGCTGTCCATATAAACACTCGTGGACACTCACTGAGAGAATGGCTGATCCGGTTCCTTTAGCAATCACAGTGAAGTCCTTATTCAAATCCACCTGTTGAGTGAACACAAACATATTCAAGTTATCAGAACAATCTAATTCTTGATGTTCTGACGGTTTGGACTACCTGCTCAGATTGTGCTAACTACATTTCAAAAGGTAGGTAGCACATGCAGTGACTAAATATATGCTACCAATCAGATTGTGATATCAGTGTAATCTTGATTTGGATCAGTGTGAAATTAGGCCATAATTTTGCCCACAACTTAACCCTAACTTTAAAACCATGCAAATATTCTTTTTTATGAAATCACCACCTATGCTATCAAACAATATTAGTCCCCTTATATAGTCAATGTAAAGGAGTGAATTGGATCAGAGTGCACTGAAGAGGTGCTGTTTTGTTTGTGTTTTGCTGGTTAATAAATCCCTCAGACAGATCAGATAACTTCTTGGTCAGACCAAAGTCTAAATGTTGTTGACCAAACACAACATTGTTGTTGATGACAAGATGATTAGCATCAGAACAATCATCATACAAGTTTCGACCCTGATCTATTCTGTTGAGATCCACTACTGTACTTACATTGCCTGACCGCGCAAGATGCACATTACTTCTTTGAATGGTCCATCTGTCAGTTTTTCTTCTTCCTGGCACAACCAGCTCCACATTCAGGTCAAAGTTATTTAAGTCTTGCGTTTGCGCATGGTACTCTGCCACAGCCTGGAAAACCATGATGGTCACCTGGAGGAATCAAAGACAACGAATTTCACACTGACATTCAATTGTATTGTTGGGAGAAATTAAACGCTTTTCAACCTTTCGATCAGTAGAACCAATCGATTCACAATATTTATTTAAAGACTCTGACTTAAAATACTTTCCTGCAGAGAATCGTGTGTCTGAAATAGCTTGCTGTATTACATATACTTTATTTTATTTAAAATCTACTTCGCAACACAAATGTGTGTTTTATGTTATGAAATAAATTTAGCTGCACTGCACCCTCCATGTTGTTGCTGTCACGCGACCTATGGCATCAGATGTGCCGTTCAGAGTCTTGCTGGAATTAGCACAGGACTCATCAGGAATAGGCTTAACTTACAAGAATGCAAACACAGCTGGAAATTTCTACGGTAAGTAGTGAGGTACGGTGCACATTTTACCTGTGGTTATTGTGATCTACACAAAAATGGGTTTGATGCGATTTTTCAGATGTCACGGTTTTCATAACAAGCAGACACTGTGTTCTCGAGCTATTGTGAAAAGATGAGGTGTTACTGTACCTGTGTAGTGTCATAACCACCATGACTAGACTTTTGTTTGGCCAGCCAATGCACTGCCTCTCCTGCTGTATCATAGTCTTTGGCCTTCACGAGTGCCAGCACAGCATAGGCCGTCGCCTCTATTGAGTAATATTGCCGTTCAGGGACATTCCAGAACCTTTCATCTGTTTTAAACACAAACAGGAAGAGACACATGATTGGATACTACATGGGTAGACTAGGTTTCTAGTTAAAGAGTGAGGCCAGCAGGGGGTGCTCACCCTGCAGTCGGGGTGGGTCCTAGTAACCCAGTATAGGGAACAGGACTAGGGATGTACAATATATCGTTTTAGCATTGATAACAGCTTTAGCGATTTTAAAAAAGCACTGTTTACAAAGGCAAGGACGTTCCGGAATTCCAAAATACTGGTAAACTCTGACATCATTAACCAGAAATGAGCGAACCGCAGCTAAATGTTTACACATTTGACTAGAACACAGATTCTGTGAATGGACAACTGAAGCAGAGCTTGAAGATAAACTAACAGCGGTTTATCATAAGCATTTTATCAATAATTTTTACACAGTTGGCATTAAGAATGAACATAGAAACGTTATCTGATTAACATCTAGCTGCTAAATGTTTCTGAAAAAATATTCAAAGGCTTTTAGTTTCATAAACAGTGCGGATGTGGATGCGTCGGAATGTTCTGATTGGCTGGAGTAGACGTCTCACGTCAGCACATTTTAAACGTGAACATGCTCTCTCCGGCAATCTTCCTTCTGCGTTCACACAGAACAGCATTCCGGCATATTACCGGTAATGTTACAGCTTTTCTTTCTGGAAAATTGCCAGAACAAATCTACCGGTATGTTCAAAAAGGGCCTGTTCACACATGATCCCTTTCCGGAAAATTGCTGGTAAAAAGGCCTGTGACTGTGCAAGCATTTCAGAAGAGATTAAAGCGGTAAGGCACAATAAATATCACCCTTTGTAACTTTAATAATGATCATTTTTTAGAATGTAAATTGTGTTATTTTCATTTGATTACAATTTCTGTATATGGATACTGTTAGACCGCCCAGAAACCTACAAAATACTGCTTATTTCACTTTTATCTCTTTGATCTGTTGTATTTATCTATGCTTGTTTTTTTATTGCTAATTTGTTTATTGTAATTTATGCATCATTCAGTCCCCTGCAGAATGATAGGATGAGACGTTAAATTGAGCACATGACTCTCTGTGCTCACAAAAAAATCCCAGGACTTTGACTTGCCCTCTCCCCTTTGCTTGTCACAGCCTCCTTATCAAACCCTCCATCGCTCATTTGTACATTTACATTTACATTTAGACACTTTTATCCAAAGCGACTTACAAATGAGGCAAGGAAGCAATTTACAAAACTATAAGAGCAACAGTGAATAAAGTGCTGTAGGCAAGTTTCAGGTATGTAAAGTGTAAGAAGTAAAGAAGTAAAACATTAGAATTTTTTTTTTGTAATACAGTTAGCTGTAGAACCAGAGAGGCAATTGCAGATTATCAAGGGAAGTGGAGACTAAATAGTTAAGTTTTTAGTCGTTTTTTGAAGACAGCGAGTGACTCTGCCGTTCTGAAGCAGTTAGGGTGTTCATTCCACCAACTGGGCTTTTGTCTCCTCTCCACCAATAAGCTGGTATCTGTTCTGGCACAAAATGGCTGCCATTACGTCATTCAGGTGGACTATAAACACTAGTGGGGGTTGAGGAGGATTTTCCATTTCATGTCACCATTTCACATTTGTTAAGCTTTGCAACTACTTTTTATGCAATGTATAAGCTCTCTGAAACTCTCATATGGTCGCCCACTGAAGCTTGGCAGGGCTGTGCCCGGTCAGTATCGGTCAGTGGTCGTTAAAAATCCTTCGTCCTTCGGAAAAAGAGTAGGGGATTATCCTGGCCAAATTTGCCCACTGTCTCCATCCCCATATTAAAATTGACTTTGTCACAAAAAAGTTCCAGGACTTCGACTGGCCCTCTCCCCTTTGCTTTTCAAAGCCTCCTAATCATCCCCTCCATCAGTCATTTGTCTCCTCTCCACCAATTAGCTGGTATCCGTTCTGGCAGAAAAATGGCTGCCATCACGTCATTTAGGTGGACTATAAACACTGGTGGGGGTTGAGGAGATTTTCCCAAATCCTTAAATCGCTTTGGGTGTGTAGAAAAGGACTATACGAATGTAACAAAGTATTATTAATTCATAATTTGAATCTGCGTAATTTTAATGTTCCATGTTCTTCCACAATGTATTTTGTTGGTGCTACTGACCGTTTACTTTAGTGGAATGCATCATCAAGATTGCTTTATTAAGACTGTCAGCGTTGGCCAGGGCGTAGGACGTCAAAGCAACTGCATAAGGATTGGTCAGTTTTGGAAGCTGATCTTTCAAGAAAGCAACAGCCTTCCTCATGCTTTCATGCAGACTCTATAAAAGAGTGCAAATAGTGTGTTATAAACAAGAGGAAGAGTAGAAAAATAAACTATTTATTTAAGGTGAAAAAGTGTTGGAAGGGGTATACTCACACCAACTGTTCCCCCACAGATCTCTTTGCCCTCTTGCATGGCAATCAAGACAAATGCTGTCAGAGAGACATCAGTGTTTTGGCCTTCTATCCCACCCTGAAATAAAGCACAAAAATTACAAATATGTGTTTTTATAATAAATCATCAAATGTAGCAAACTAAACACTAAAGAGTATCTGAATCTATTCAGGACTAAGACATTAATTTAAAAACATTCAATTTACCATTATACTTTTGTCATATACAGGTGCATCCTCTTTAAAAGAGCCATCTGGTAGTTGTTTGTGCATAACCAGCCACTTCAGGGCGCTGCAGATCACATTTTCTTCTATAGCAAAAAAATCATTGGCCATGGCGAAGACTTTAGCCACATATGCTGTCAGCCTTTAACAAACAGAAACAGAACCAAATTAATAATTAATAAGTAATATTGTGTTACAAGTGTAAAATACATGGCAAAAAAACACATAAGGTGACAAACTGGAAGAAAAAGAAGAAAGCTGGGAAAACAAAATACCATGTACTACTCGGCGTGTTAATCCAGATAGCGTAAGATCCATCAGGTTTACGGTACTTTAGCTGCCCATCATAACCTTAATGAAGAACAAATCTTTATTTTAATGTCCATTTCACAATTTGGGAGAACATCGATGACTGCTTTTACATTTTGATTCAGACTCTGTTTATCTGTTGTATCCTGACCTGTTTTGATATGGTTAATGGCAACTTTACGGCGGTCAATGCCAACAGATTCCCACTGATTGGTGTTGTCCAGATAATGAGTAGCAACAACAGGCAAAGTCATTTTAGCCATGTTCTGCTCTCCACATCCTCCTGGCCGTTTGATAAGTTCTCCCATGAAGCTTCCATTGATGGCATGCTCAATCGACTGACTGATTTCTTCACCTAGAGGGATAAAAGTAAGAAAGCAAAAGCATTGCCCTTGAGAATCATTATGTAACTACATGATTACATCATTAAGATAAAACTTTATTTTAGACATAAAGGGTAGAGCTTCTGCATACTTTAGACACCCAGACACATCAATATGAACTAACTCTGAACATCACAAAATGAAGTATTATAAAATTGACAAAAACAACAGCAAAAGTAAAAGCATATGACTACTTACCACAAAACTGCTGGAACTAATGAAGCATAATCTAAGGCCAACTCTTACCACCCTCAATATCATGACTAAAGAAGATACGCCCTGAATGCCAGACATTGCAAAATCATGCAAAAATCACTGAAATATTTTCTTTTTTAAGACGAGCACTCCATGATGTGAGAATTTGACCCTAGAAATTTGGTATTAAAACAGCCCAAATGGATGCAATTAACAGTAGCGACCCAATCATCAGCTGTTTTTAAGCAATAAGCTCATTGTCAAACACAGTTTGGTGAAAAACATGTGTTAAGAAGCCATGGGTTAAGGGTTCATTCATTCATTTTCCTTCAGCTTAGTCCCTTATTTATCGGCGGTCGCCAAATCGGAAATGAATCACAGACTATTCCCGTATATGTTTTACACAGAAGATACCCTTCTAGCCCCCCCTGTTTATTTTTTCCCCCAATTTCTGTTTAACAGAGAGCAGATTTCTTCAACACATTTCTAAACATAATAGTTTTAATAACTTATCTCTATGATGATAGTAAATAATATTAGGCTAGATATTCTTCTAAACACTTCTATACAGCTTAGAGTGACATTTAAAGGCTTAATTAGGTTAGCTAGGCAGGATAGGTTGTACAGGCAAGTTATTGTCAAGGTTCTGCCACTCTGGTCTTGTAAATTCTTGTTTTTGTGGCAGAGACTGGACACTAGCTCTGTCTAGTTCTGTCCTTTTGTGCTCAGCTTGAGTTTTCTTGGGTCGAGCACTTGTTTTGTCATGTGTTTGTGTGTCTCTGTATGAGCGCCATTTGTGAAGGCGCATGGACTTTGCGCCCCCCCGCTTGATACGGTTGCGTGAGGTGTTTGCAGGTGCGCACTCCCATCCGGGTGTTCACGTTTGTCTGTCTGCAGCGTGGGGTTTCATTCCCAGCGTCTCAGTCCAGTTGGTTTTGGTTTCGGTTGGCGCTGGGATGAAACGTGCATGCTGCGTGTGTGAATGCATGGTGAGTGTTTTCATTCATCATGTACTCGTGTCTTGCGTTCAGTCTTCTGTTGGTGTTGTGTTTAGCATGTGGTGCGTGTTTACATGCACCGCATGCTTGTGTTGTCATGAACATGCGGTTAATGAGTTATCTCATTGGCTGCGTGTTCTAGTCTTGTTTTGTGTGAGCGCATGGCCTGTGCTGTCTCTTTGTGTCATGTGTTCTCCTGTCTATTGTCTTGTCCCACCCTTCTTGTCCCACCCATTATTAGTTAATTGTGATCATATGATTGTGTGTTAATTTACTTCTGTTTATATTCTCCTCCTGTCTTCTGTCCTGTGCCAGTTCGTCGTTGATATTTTCCTGACTTGTTGTGTCCAGCCCTGCTTTGTCCTGCCAGCCCAGTCAAGTTTGTTTTTGCCTTTTATGTTTTCCCCCTCGAGGTAGTTTGTTTTTCCCTTCTTGTTTTATTTTAATAATAAGTAATTTTGTCTGCAATTGGTATGGGTGGGCAAAGCGAGGCTTCGTGAAACACTGAAACAGTCGAAGCAAATGTGTCGAAGCTTCGAAACGTTTCGAAACCCCACTCTACGGTGACACCTAGTGGTCATTTTATTTGTATTGCACTGAAACAGCTTCAGCAAAGAACAGTTGAGCAAATTGAGGTATGAAACCCCACTTTATAGCCTTAAACCTACAAGTGGTTTAGTCGAGCGGTTAAAGTTCGTAACCACCATGCGGGGATAGTGGGTTTGAATCCAGGCTGATACAGCTATTTTAAAATGCTTTAGTACCACTTGGTAATGTGTTGTTCTTGTATCGTTTTGTTTCAACATTGCTCTGACATCCGAATAAACGCCTTGTAAATAAATTTGTATTGTTTTGGTCATAAAACAGGGTTGTTGCTAGATCAGATAAAGTTGTGGCCAGAAGTTAACAATAATTATTTATATTATTAATTAAATTTCCCATTGTATTTTATTAACGTCTATTCAAAACCTAAACCCATCACTGTACTGTAAAAATATTAATTATTGTTTTACAGTGTTACAAAAATGGTGCTAAATTGGTGGCGTATCCGCAGCTGTATCCTATCTAGACTACACCATAAAACAGAAACATGAGTAAAATGCATAGAATCATGATTTTGGAGTATTTGTACTAGTCGGGATTCGAACCCAAAATTAGATTGAAACACAGTAAGAACGTGCACACACATTATCCACTAGGCCATACGAGTTAGAAACTTGAATCTGACCATGTCAGTCAAATGCAGATTCTCCAGGTCTCGAAACGCTTCTGAATTGATCAATGTTTTGAAACACTTTAGTCACGTGACCTGTGTGTTTCGGATCTGCTTCGGTGCAGAAAAAATCAAAGGGGGGCTTCTAATTCTGACTTCAACTGTATATTTATTCTACACGTTTGAAATTTTTTTGAAAACATTTTCATCTTACCAGTAACTGTGATGTACGAGTGAACGGGTGTGCCTGGAACCTGATCTCCTGGTATACCAGCTCTAAGAAGTAAGGGCTGCTCCCCTGTTCCATTTGACATAATGTAGAGGAAACAGAATATGTAGAGGAAGAGACATGAGTTGTGTGCTGAATAGATTTTGTACACTTTTGGATTGTGATTAAGCAATTAAAATATCATGGAAGTAATGTTAAGGAAAGCATAATGTTGTTGTGTGATTCACAGGAAAAAAACAAACCTTTTTTGGCCGGATTGAGCTCCAGTTTTTGGCTTTGGAATTTAGTCAGCACACCTTCAGACTGAAAGAAAGAGAGCATGTTAACTATCAGTGGAACTCTACTTGATCTATTGAAACATATGAGAAAGATCTATCATATTAAGTCCTGAAACTGCATCAGACGTACCACCACCTTCAGGGTCTTTCTAACTCCATCTGTATAATCTAATATTGAAGCTTTCACCTCAATATGCTGACTTTCCAGTGTCATTGGAACGATCACAAATGAAACTGCTATGCTGGAGTCCTTGTCAACATTTACTGTTGCTCTGTATTTCCCTTTCTTACTGGCAGCACTGCAAACACCTGCTGTCTCCAAAAACTCCACACGAACCTGGTGAAAACAGCAGGAGACAAAAATCCCTTCAACATATAGAGGAAACCTCCTCCAAAAATAAATGAAATGTGTGATGAATGATGAAGGACTTTTCTGTTTTTGTACATGATACTATACAACACTTTTCTTTAGAGTGACAAAAACCTGCATGCAAATTTGTTCAATAATTTCCATCCAATCACTCTTACAAATATGTATATTAGAATACTTCTCATGGATTTCTTAGCTGCCTTTAACACTGTTTGACCTAACCTTCTTTTAAAACGTCTTCATAATTTAGGAGTAAGCGGTTGGTTGATTGTATGGACCAGAGAATTTTTACATAAATGACCACAACGTGTCTGTGTTGATCATGTTATGTCTGACTGCTCTGTTTTAAATGTTGGGGTGCCTCAGGGATGTGTATTGTCCCCTATTTTATTTTCTAATTATTTCAATAAATGCATAGCAATATTAATGATAAACTCGCTCTTATAAAGTATGCTGATGATCTGGCATTGGTTTTCTGCCAGGAAGACATTAATAACTCCTTATATTTTAAATATATTGATAGTATCATAGACTGGTTCAGTTAAAGTTTATTACATCTTAATATTGTAAAAACAAAAGAGCTATGTCTGGGGAGTCAAACAAGAGCAGTAGATACTAGATTTCATAACCCATCCAGTCATCATAAATGAAAAAATATTCAAATTTTAAGTATTTAGGCACAATTTTTGACAAAAAACTAAATTTTGATAGTAATGTAGAGGCCAATTGAAGGGAAGTCTGCGCCTCCTCCACAAGTTGAGAATTTTTAATGTTAGTAGACAGACTTTAAACATGGTATATACAGTGCATCTGGAAAGTATTTTTAGCGCTTCACTTTTTCCACATTTGTTTGTTGCAGCCTTATTCAAAAATAAATGAAATCCATTTATTTCCTCAACATTCTACACACAATCCCCTATAATGACAATGTGAAAAAAAGAGTTTTTAAAATTTATTCAAAATAAAAAAGCTGAAAAATCACATGTACGTCAGTATTGACTAGTGTTGGGTTGTTTGGTTTTTTCCATACCGGTGCTAAATCGATACTTTTAAAATGGTTCTGGTGCCAAAGCGGTGCCTGAACCAATACTTTTTAGCCACAAAATAAATTGACAAAAAAAAAAAAAAAAAAAAATATATATATATATATATATATATATATATATATATATATATATATATATATATATATATATATATATATATATATATTTGAAATCAACAGTAATCAAACTAACTAGCAAAAAAATATATATGCAAGCGTGAGGAAAAAATGTCTCAACGAAATCCCGTTATCACAAGAAAATACATTTTTATAACATAACTGAGTGACCGAAAGCTACACGGAGCGCTCACCGGCACTGCACGCACTGCTTGACATGAATGAATCTGTTAATGGTATAACTGTGCTGTTCTCACGAGTGCTGTCTGATGTTGCACTGATACTTTTGACATCTAGCAATTATATGAAGGATTAAACAGAAGCTCTCGTGCTAGATGTGGCAAACAGTTACCTGAAAATTCCATCCCACAGACTTTTCATAGGGGACTTGAAACCAATGGAAGTCTTTTATCAACTCTTGGAAAATTGTAACATTCAGCACATGATCATTACTAAGATGTGTCATTAGCCCCTTTCACACAGTGATACCGGTAAATATCTGGAAAATTTCCGGAACGACTTTACCGGTATATTCAAAAAAGTGCTGTTCACACAGGCGAGAACGTTACGGAAATTTTCCGGAAAAGAGCATTCACACATCCATTCCAAAATACCGGTAAATTCTGACATCATTCACCACAAATGAGCTTTAAACGGCTGCGCTTGTATTTGTAAACATTTGACTAAATTACAAACTCTGTGGATGATCAATATTGTGAGCAACTTTCGCAGGATCACTTTCGCATGTCGAGATGTTCATAATATGTGCGTGTGCAGGCGCTCACAGGCTGTTTCACAGGCACACGCAAAGCTTGAAGGTAAACAAACAACGGCTTATCATAAGCATCTCATCGATGATTATTTACACAGTTGGCATAAAGAAGAACATATAAGCGTGATCTGACTAACTTCTAGCAGCTAAATGTGTCTGGAAAAATATTCAAAGGCTTTTATTCTCACAAACCGCGCGGACGTAAATGCTTCTGACTGTTGTGATTGGCTAAAGCAGACATCTCACGTCAGCACGTTCTAGACGTGCACGCGCTTATTACGGGAATCTTCCTTCTGCATTCACACAGTGCAGCATTCCGGCAAATTGCTGGTAATGTTACAACTTCTCTTTCCGGAAAATAGCCAGAACGAATTTACCGGTATTTTCAAAAAGGACCTGTTCACACATACAACCTTTCCGGAAAATTGCCAGTAGTTTTCCGGAAAGGTTGTATGTGTGAAAGGGGCTATTATCTGTAACTTTAGATGCCATAGTTTCTAAAACAAAATCTGCCACTGTTATCTTCATTCTCATCTTCTGCGCTTTTTCCGCATTTTTCGCGGTAGTAGCTCTCTCTGTCATCCCAAGCCAGAAGGCATTGACTGGGTGATTGACAGCTGATATTTCAGTGCTAGAGCAGTGGGCCAATAAGAAGAGCGCGAAGGCGGGGCGAGCATTACGGGCTTTGTTTACTTCAGCAAGTTGACATGACAACTGTTTTAAACCATTCCTGAGCGCTCCGTTTTACGTTTCAAGTGCAAAGAAGCATTCTGCGTGAATGTCTCCCAAATCCGTGCATGTGGTGAACATTTTGCAATAAAAACTGGTCGCACTCCTTTTTTTCTCAGAACACCTTTTTTCTGGGTTTGGGGCTTGTGACTACTTTTACATGGACATCAGTGATCTAATGATTTGTCTTAATCTATATAAGACACATTGGCGTATCAGACGGGCCCACGTGAATAGGGGGCCCCGCGTCATCGCGATTTTCAATAATTGAAAATCCGGCAACCGCAATATTCAAACTCTTGGGAACAACTGTGGTCGGATCACAGGTCACAGTTCACAGGTCTGTGTTCTCTGAACTCCTCTCAAGCGGTGGATTACTTCATTCTGACTGCTTGCCGCCGAACTGCGTCATAGCTCGTACTATAAAGTTGACTTGATTTTAACTCTCCTCGACGCTCACACCGGGAAGACGCGCCGTGCTGTTCCTCGCCGCCAGTTCACATTAAAAATGAATGACTTCTGGTTACTTTGACGCTTTCGGTTTGTGATCGCTCCTCAGTTTGTCAAGGATTCCCCGCGTTGTTGGTCCGCCCCCCTTTCACGCTCCAAGTTTGTGATCACTCCTCAGTTTGTAAAGGCTTTCCCGCATTGTCGCTCCACCCCGCCTCCCTTTCCCGCTCCTCAATTTGTGATCGCTTCCCCGTGTTGCCCCCCCCCCCTTTCTTTGGCGGCCCCGTCAGTGATCCTTGCAGGGGGACCTCCACATTTTGCACTACGTCACTGATAAGACAATTATATGATTCAGGTGTTTACATTATCCAGTAACGTCATTGCGTCACCAGCCTATAAATGTTTCCTTCGCAGTTTGTGTCTGTGGTCTTTTAAGATAATCAAAAATCACTGTTTATGTGGTAGACTCTTGATCAGAGTATTGTCTTAATCATATGAAAATCTAACTATTGGTGTCCATGTAAACATACTCACTGAAAGTGCCAGATGATGTCACAAGCTGTCAAACACAGTCCATTCCTCGCCTTTAAGTTGATTCCATGAGCCCCACACATTTCATAAGTTTGATGTGTTTCTCCCCTACACTGACACTGTGTGTCAGAATCTTTGATTGTAAAATATAGCCATACTGTAGAATGCTTAGTTTAGGCAAATTAGATGAACGCCATCATGCTTGTTCATGAAAGGAGTCGCTCGCCACATGCGCTGTACTGCGCACTTTGACTTAGAGCCGCGGCACAGCGCGCACATGAAAGTTAATAGTATCACACACCAGACGTGCACATTTGCATGTTATTAAAAATGAAACTATTTAGATGGCGCTCTGTGGCATGACAAAAATATGAACAGTCATGAGTCGTGGCTGGGCGCCGCGGACAGCCACTGACTTGCGAATTCTAAAATGCATGGCGCTGCGCGTCGTCAAGCGGCGCTTCTGGTGTGCGACCTGCTTTAAGGCTGATTCTGTGTCAAACGCATGCGTATGTTACGGCATTGACGCATAGCCGTATGATGTCAGCAGCAGGAACTGGAAGACTAGTCAGGATAGAGGGAAAGATGAATGCAGCAATGTACAGAGACATCCTGAATGAAGACCTGCTTTCAGAGTGCTCTTGACCTCAGACTGGGGCGACGGTTCATCTTCCAGCAGGACAATGAGCCAAAACACACCGCCAAAACATCAATGGAGTGGCTTCACAACAACTCTGTGAATGTCCTTGAGTGGCCTAGCCAGAGCCCAGATCTAAATCCTATTGAACATCTCTGGAGAGATCTGAAAATGGCTGTACACCATCGCTTCCTATGCAACCCGATGGAGCTTGAGAGATGCTGCAAAGAGGGATGGGCAAGAATTCCCAAAGACAGGTGTGCTTAGCTTGTGGCATCACATTAAACAAGACTTGAGGCTGTAATTGAGGTGCATCAACCAAGAATTGAGCAAAGGCTGTGAATACTGATGTACATCTAATTTTTCAGCTTTTTTAATTGAATAAATTGGCCGCAATTTCAAAAACTCTATTATCTAATACATTGCAGAATAAGGCTGTAAAAAAAAAAAAAAGGGGAAGCGCTCTAAATACTTTCCAGATGCACTGTAGATCATTCATATTGTTCGCACATATAATATTGTTTATGGTTTGTTAACATGACACTGAAACAAAAGAAGAAATTACCTCAAATTATCAATCAAGCAAATAAGATAACTGGTTACAAGCAACATTCGCTACATATTTTATTTGACTCCTTTATGGAAAAAACAGTAATTGTGATTTTTAAAGATAGTCCACAACACATCCCCTTCACTCAGTGTTACCACCAGGACGCAGGCTTAAAATTCCTAGAGCCCGAAGAGATGCTTATAAAAAGTCATTTGTCCCAATAGCCGTTGTTGTCCTGAATCAGATTACTGTTTGATGTGAAGGGGCTGGTCGTAAAGAATCATCTGCAGTAATGTGTATGGGGCTAATATAGTTTTTAATGTGTTGCGGAGTATTATTATTATCTGATTGTCGTGTGCTTGTAGTTATGGTGCAAGAAAGACACATGTCCATTCTGTGCCAAGCAGAACGGACAAAGATTAAACAAAAGATTAAACAAACAAACAAATGGTTTTCAGAAGCAGTGCTTACTGTCATTTGACTCGGGTATAAATGGTTACTATGATGCATGTGGTAATAATTAATACATTCTGAAAGCCAGCCTACCCAACTGTCAAACCTACCTTCTTCAGGTGTTTGGGGGTGTAGTTGTGAATAATGGCCTTGATTTCCACTTGTTCACCTCGTACAGCTGAGTAAGGCACTTTGAGGTCAATGAAAAAACTCTTAAAAACGACGATCTCCTCAGGTTCTGCCACACAGATGCCTTTAGGGAGGAAGAAACCCACACAGCAAGGTTTTAAAGCAGTTGCTCCTGTATAATTATGGTGGCTTTTTTCAGAATGCGTATTCTGGGTTTGCAGAATCACGTTACCGTGTGTTGGTGAGAGGCTGATTGCCAAGATCTGCCAGGTAGTAATAGAGTCTTTCAGGTACGTCACTTTGTTCTTGCTTGGTTTTGAACTAGGTAATTAGAAAGATACAAAATGTTTTGTTGTGTTAACTGCTCAAATCAAATGAGATCATGTGGATTATTTGCTTTTATATGCCAGAGGTCATGTTTGATGGCTCAGTTTACAGTCTAAAAGTCTTCTTTTACCCACCATTTGTCACAGAGATCAAACTCCTCCCAAAGCCAGCTCTCAGGAAACTGCTTGCGTGATGTAATGTCATCATAGTCTTCATAATCCTCTTCATAAGTCTCTTCATCATCTTCTGTAATGATAAATGTCAGAATATACTAAAGGCACACAGTAGATTAGATTGTAAAGCATTGTTAAGCTACAAGCAGAGCCAGACACAATCTATATTTTTTGCTATTTCTTCTAGGGCTGGGTGATATAGGAAAAAAAAATTATATTTCAAAATGGTCAACATTTTTATGAATTTCGATATATACAGTTAAAGTCAGAATTATTAGCCCCTCTATGATTTTTTTTTTTGATTGTTTTTTAAATATTTCCCAATTGATGTTTAACAGAGAAAGGGAATTTTCACAGTATGTCTGATAATATTTTTCTTCTGGAGAAAGTCTTATTTGCTTTTTTTCGGCTAAAACAAAAGCAGTTTTTAATTTTTTAAACTCCATTTTAAACTCAAGCTGTATTTATTTCTGATCGTCTATTGATCAAACCATCCTTATACAATAACCTGCCTAGGTAACCTAATTAACCCAGTTAAGCCTTTAAATGTCCCTTTAAGTTGTATAGAAGTGTCTTAAAGTAGTATCTAGTCAAATGTTTTTTGCTGTCAGTTAATAGAATTTCAGAAAAAATTCAGTTAATAGAAATGATATTGGGTAAAGAAATAAACAGGGAGGCTAATAATTCGGGAGGGGCTAAAAGTTTTGACTTCAGCAGCATGGTTTCCGCTACATTCCCTCTTCCGTGGCGGGGCGCCTCACCAAAATTCATCCCACCACGGCTACATTACAGCTTCTTATTCAAAATATTGGATCTTTTTTTAAATAGCGGGTAATGCGCACCGAAAACGTATGAAAAGGTAAGTGAATTATAACAGCGCAAACTTTTCTGTGACCGTAGTAGTGCTGTGCGTTCTGTTTAACCCTTTAAGACGACGTTCTGACAGACTGACTGACAGGTGCGTGATGCGTGAGACCAGCAAACACAACGTAGCTCTCAGTTATGATGAACACAGTTTCCATAATTATACTTTATTTATAGATAAAGGTCTATGGCTTTGCGTATAATGACTTTATCTACTTGGAGTTTATAGCCGTTTCACTTTACTTCAGGATGCATTAATGCCACGGTCCGCTTCGCAACTCTATCAGTGACATTCATAAATATTCCTAGCAAGTCTAATAAATGTTGGAGACATACTCGGTACATAAACGTACTAAATAACACTTCAGCCCTGTTTATTTGGGGGCGCGCTAGAAAATCTGCACTCGTGCAGCATATATTTGAGGGCGCACAAGAAGTTTTGTGCACGAACAGAGGAAACTTAAGCAGAGATTGACATGCTCGTAGGCTATTACATTAATGCGATTTCAACTTAATACTGCGCCCACGACATTTGTTAATGAAATATTGCCACATGTAGTGGTAGATCTGTGTAAAATGCCCAACAGAGTCTGCCGCCACAGCTGGAAAAAAATCCTGGAGGAAACACTGAACAGTATCTCAATATGTTTGCATTTGCTTTTAAATAATAGAAAACATGTTTTTTTTCTGCCCCTAATAAAAACTTTGTAGAACAGCTACTGTTGCAGAGGAAAAGCAAACAAAATGTTTAGTACAAATTTAAGCAGTTGATCAATAATATAGAGCAAGTGTTCACACACTGCTTTTAATTAGATGAACATGTATTTGTAACTGAAGTTGTGCTAAACAAATACAAGCTAACTGTACCGTACCCCATTTTGGGTGCCCTTTACGAAATGCACAGACTCACAGATAAATGCTATTGGTTTATAGGGAAACTTCACCAAACCTTGTCGCTTTTTGTGACAAACAGCCACATGACAAGATGAAGAACATAGTCTGCTGTGTGCCTATTGGTCTTTCCGAAGCCGTCTAAAAGCATGTGGAAAGCCAGAGTGGTTTCGCTTTCTCTATTTGCACGTGCTTGCTTCATGTCTTCAATTAAAATAATAATCTAGAGCCTATGATCGTATCTTTTGCAAGACTAGGTATTTTTTTTTGCACAGAATCTGGTAAAAAATAAAAATAAAAATCTGCAGATTTATCTATAGTTACTGAAAACTTAAAAAAAAGATGTTTTTACATATGCAAGTCCAATTACAGTTGATCCCACTTAGTGAGGTTTATTCATAAACTAATTTCGAGAGGATCACGTGCTTATGATTTATCACGGCCGGTCCCGTATTTTGCTAATCACTAGCTCGAGGATCCCTTGAGCTCGGGGCTCTCTCCCGGGACAGCATGCCAAACAAGCTTTTTATAAATCATCAGCTAAGTGTGAACTCTTAAAAAAAAATTAATCTCAGTAAAAACAGCTCATCTTTTGTGCAAAGTGAAAGTGTAAAATACTGTATTTTTCTGTGACGCACTATCAAGATATCTTAATCCGAGAAGATACTTACTACGAGCCAGAATCAGCTCCTCCTCTTCAGTCTCTTTGTGGTTTTTCACCTCTTTGCAGCAGTGCAAGAAGGCCTTGACACACTCTTCTCCATCTATGACGTATGATGCTCGCCGTTCACATGTGTAGCCAATTCTGTTATTCCTCATCCCGTCATAGCAGCATGGCCGGATTTTTTCAGTGTATTGGCCAGCTGAAAAGACAACATTAGTGCATAACACTGAGATAACTACAAGGGTGAGGATAGATTTCTCTAAAAAGTGGACCGAGTCCAATTAAGAGAAAGGTTCAGGATAACACTAAAGCCAAGAACAACCTCTCTTATTTGAATCCTGGACAGAAATAAACAAATGGCATGTTTGTGTATTTTATCCTGAAATTTGTCTTATGTGACTTGTTTGTATACTGATTTAACTTTGCAAATAAAACAAAAGATCAGATTGGTGCTTTCAGTCCAATCAGAATAAAGACCAGCCTCTTACCGAGAGTTGTAGTGATTGTCTGAAGACTCTCAGATCTCCGTTTTCTCTTTGGAGGGGCAGGACACTTGGGCTCTAGAGGACAATTCATTGGATTGAATTAGGTTATTGTGAAAACAAATTATGTTTAAATAATCCAAGAGATTTTATAAAACCAATAAAAAATGATTTAAACAAGGTTAGCAAACTGTCTGTCTTTCTGTCTGATCTCTCAGGGACATTTCACAGGGTAAAATATCTAGACCAAATCTTTGCACCTTCTGCCGCCACAGAATCATCTTAACTGTAAAGCACCAGGTTTTCCTCTTATCCTATGTGACATAGGGATCAAAGCTGTTTTGTTTTGGTGGCTTAAGTCTTACATCACATTAGATACTCCGAAGAAGAGAACTTCATCTCAAGAACAAACCTATCAGTTACAATTTAACTCAGCAATTTGGGTTTAAAAGGAAGGGCCATGGAAGGAATCTGGGGGTTAGAGGTTGATGTCCATTGTCATTGTTTTTTGAGATGTTTTTCCAGATTAAAACCCAAGCGATTTTCACTGGCGTCAAGCAGAAGAGTATGCAAAATCACTCCTTGACGTTAGATGGCGCTATACAACTTGAAGCTTCTGACACCCGCTTGTAACACAGAAGAAGAAGAGAGAAAGTTTACACGCTTGTTGTTAAAGTTACTGGCAATTCGAACCATAGATATGTACACTAGATGTCGTCTGGCCTATTGTTGTCTATTGGAAGTAATGCGTCAATAGCGCCGCCATCTTGCTACAGGGTAGCGCTCCTTTGAAATGAATGTGGGACCAAGGTACAGTGGAGGACTGTGGCCATCCAAAGCCAGAGATATACACATATACACATATATCTATGATCGGGAGTTTTCCTGGATGTTAGTATGCAATTTTTTTTCTAGTTACAAAAACTATAATTTTACATCACTTTTCTACATTGATGGATCAGTGACCGCACGGGCATTCCTGACAAAAAGCTTGTGTTTGTGTGTACAGAAATGTACTATCCACCCTCCCTGTTAAATCTGATCTAATCCGTGTCCTGACACACACCTCCTCTCCTGCTTTCACTTCTCATACTGACGGAGAGAGCGATTCGTTTGTGAATGAATCCCCCGAACAACTCTTTCACTAACGTTAGCAGACAATAATAAGTTTCTGGCAGCGCAGCATCTCGTTGTCATATTTCTTTTGCATTGTTTGCTGATTTTATTCAACAAAACTAGCATAAGCCGATTGTTTGGTGCAAGTTGGAGCTGCTTTGCCGTATTGTGAATGCAGTAAGTGACTATTATCATCAATAATGTAACCTGATTAGCACAAAAGATCAGAAAATACAAAAACAGAAAAAAACTTAATATTACCTATAAAATGTTCTGCCTTTGTGCTTTGTTTTCTTTGTTTGCTTGTTACTACACCCGTAGACAGTGCTAAATTCCCGCATCTTCAAGTAATAACACTGTCTTGACTAGTGCGGTTGAATGACATTTGTCCTGGGAGCTATTGACGCATGTTCAGGGTCCCTATGCGATATCTAGTGTATATATCTATGGATTCGAACAAGCATGGATGGTTCAAGTTGCAGCTCCAGCTCTAGCAAAGAAAGAAATTATTATTGTTCACCAGTGCAATAAGCAGCTCCGCGTTCATATCTTCTCTGGGCATCTTCTTCAATGTGCGCTCGCATTGGCAGTTTTGCGCTTGAGCGCCTCCAAGTTTTGTTTACTGTAACTTCAGCAGCTCTGCACGTGAACAAAAGTGCAAATCTGAAAAAAATGAGCATGAGGAGTTTCTTAATTGTGCTTTTACGCCTGGCAAATTTGCGCATGTGTGTGCACAATATCATTGGCGCCCTTTATTAAGTCACGAGGCATAAAATGTCAATGGAAACGCGAGCAAAAAGCGTCCCGGTGTGCAAGGGTCTTTAGGTTTTCTACCTTCATTTGAAAAGTTGCTTGATCTCATAGGTTTGCATTTCACAACATCAGAAATATCAAACTTTTCTGCAAGAGTATACAGAACAGCTCTTTGTCCAAGCACTTGTCATTTAAAAATTGGACAAATGCTTTACTTTATTAACCCCCTACAAAACGGCAAAAGGTTTAGTCTTCAACCAAACCAAGGTTTCACCTTCAGTCAGCCATGTTATACCCCTCAATGCAGTCAGAATCACAGTCAAGGCCCAGACAAAACAACAGCAGTGCTCTGTAGGTGGATGTTATAGGCAAGGCGTCTAAGCCACTACAGATGAGTCAGATTTTGGCTACTAGTCTCATTTACAGTCAGCCAAAGAGGATCCACATTACATGCCTACTGATCTCAACTACTTGCTCCCAGTGGCAGCCAGAATCATATTTAGGATTTGATAATGTCTTTGAATTTTGCCACTGGGCGTATTGCAATTATCTATCATTCAGGCAAAGTGACTAAACCTCTACAGGTAATTCAGAAACAACTATCAAGAAGTTTATTCTTCAATCAGCCAAAAAAAGATCCACATTATATCCCCTGCCCACTTAACCACTGGCTCCCAGTGGCAGCCTTAATTATATTTTAGCTTTATTCTTGGGTTTTTCAGCAAAAGTAGTTAAGCCTCACGTTGGATCCAGTAACTGGCAGCAGGACTGGCCTTCAATGGAGACACGTCAGTCCACTTGCTGTCACCACTCAGTTTTGGTTCTACTGACTACTTGTCAGTCCAGAGTTGTGCCACAGAATATTGCTGACGGAATTCAATGTTTTTCACTTAATAAAACTAATATAATCATTAGCTGAGAATAATGGGGGAACCTGTTCTTGTATTGGTTCCTCCTGCAGGGTCGGACTCAAACATCAAACCAGCGTCACTGAAAACCCCCATACTGTCTTTTCCACCTCCTCCCGTACAGCCAGTATCATGCTTCTCAATGACATCCCAGATCTAGAGGGAGGAAAACCATACATTTTTGGTCAGGAATAGTCATCAAGTGTTTTCACTATGATGTCCAAAGACCGTTCACCTTCGACTGAGTGAGTCTGTTCTTGTTAAGGACTTGCACAGCCTTGTCAACCACCACCAGACCAACTCGGGCTCCAAAATCTCCACTTATTTGCAGATTGACTTCATTTCCTGTTTCATAGAATTTCTGCTTTTCTGTCACCTCGACCTTGAGCTTAAATTGAAAGATAATGTGTCAGAAATACAGACTTGGCACATCAAACATTTCTTGTGATAGTTGACCCACCTTTCCCATGCATGTGTCCTTCACATCGACCCAGACTGAATCAGACACCACCTCATCTTTGCCCACATGGTAATAAGCCACGAAGCGGAAGGACGGCACCATGTCTTTGGTCACAGGTAGAGACAGAGAGACTAGAGTTTGTCCTTGCCTCTTAAACCTTTCTGCTAGAACAATCTGACCTTTACTCAAGATCTAAAAAAGAGGTAGAAAAATCAACACCATTAGTCAAACTCAAACCGTTTCAATTAATAGAAGTGAGGGGAAAAGGATAACCTTAATTATTACCATGTAAGTGAAATCTTGATCTTTGACTCCTGGACTTTCTCCAGTGTTCAGATAAACTGTCATTTGATCACCAATCTCAAACTCTGCTGACTCAATGTTGATATGCAGGTAATTTTTGGAGCCAAGATTGGTTTTGTAGGCCTGAGCAATCATTGTCTTATCCGCCTGCTGCTCATTGGCCAATTCAGGATCTCTGGTCGTTGCCTGTAAAAAAAGACAAATATTTATTTTTGATGTGATGTGTACAGTATTTGCTATTGGCTTGTTAAACGTCTGTTAAGTAATACATTTTGCACTACAACTGTCTAAACATCAGTACAGATGAGACGGCAAGTCTTACAGTGATCTTCAATGTAGAGACTCCTGCCTTAGTGTTGACTGTCACTTTCGCAATGCCATTGGCTTTGGTTTTACTGTTGACTCCTCCTACTCCATCAACCAGCACCTCCACTTCCACATCTTCTGCAGGCGTCTCATCAGGATTTGTAACATAAACCTTTTTTTAGAACCCAGAGAAGAAAATGGTGAAACATCAGTTCTGGGAGATTTGAAATGTTATTTTAAATGGCATTTATGTTAAGTGCTTAAGTTCATTTATGAGCATTGTCGTGATTGTCGCTTTTGTGCACGAGCACTGATTTGCCTCAAATTTCAGTCATTTATTCCCGAACCTGTCGATGATTGAAAATCAGGGCTAAATCATGCAGTGATGTAAACTCAGCATTATATTATGGCAGTGTAAGGGCATCCGCTGTGTAAAACGTGTTGGACGGGTTGGCGGTTCATTCTGCTGTGGCGACCCCTGGTTGATAGAGGGACTAAGCTAAAAAGAAAATTAATGAATAAAGGAATAAATGTATTTGTGAATATTTTTTGTTCCTCTTTTAAAATGTTTAGGTAGTGTTTGTTTTATGGATCATTTGTGTTTTGAAGCCAAACTTTGTTTTATTTGACAGCGAGGACCACAATGGAAACAAGCCCAAGGCTTTATGGTGTTTTTATCCTCGACAGGGATACTTGTATTTTTGTACAGATCTATAAATCTGTCAAGTAAAAATTCTGTTCAATTCAGGGAACAGCAAATATGGCATGTTTTACCAGAAAAGCCAGACTGAGAATTTAATGTGTTGGGTAAAATATGTCATACCGAGACACCCAGGGGCATTCCAGGTTTGAAGAACTGTGATGTTCTTTTGTAATGGATGGTGTACGGAGACGTCACAATCTGAATGCCTCTCTTTTCTGCTTCCACCATTTCACTGCCTGAGATACACACTTTTGATTAGCCTCTCACACACAGTCATACACATAAACATACAGTATGTGTCGAGTCTTACCACTTTCGGTTAAAAGGTTGACTGAAACGTAGATTGACTTCCCAACCAGATCTTTTATGTTTTTAAATGTCTTCGTGATCATCTCCCTGGTCAATTCTGCAGTTCCTACTCCATTGAAAACCTAAACACACACACATGCATATGATAAAAAAAAAACACACACAACATGGTTAATTACTGAACCATATAAAAATAGTAAGGATTTAAGACAAAACCAGCACTGCATGCATGTATAGCCGACCGGAAAGTATTCAGAGCGCTTCTCCTTTTTTGGTCAATTTATTTTTCAGCCTTAATGCAAAATAGATTAAATTCATTACTTACCTCAATTATCTACAAGTAATACCTCATAATGAAAACACGAAAGAAGATTGTTTAAACATTTATTTATATTAAAAAAGCATGTACACAATTAATCATCTTTGCTCAGTACTGTTATCTTGTCTGTGTTTTGAGTCTCATTAGCTATGTTTAACTTCATCAGAGGGAAAATTTGAACGCAACAGTCTTAACAAAAGTCTGTACCCTGAATACAATCCTGTCTTAAGCCGCGGTCACATTAGAGTTTGAGCATGCGAAATTCTGTCATACTGTCATCTGCAAAAAGAGGCAGGATTAAACAAGATGATTAGACATTAAAACGTGAGCGATTGGTCCTAGTTTTAAATTTCTGTCTGGAGAGGTCATGTTTTGATCTTCGATTGGTCTCTCCGCAGTCACGTAATGCGATTTCTCAGATCAGAGTTCACCAAGCTTGAACTTTCTGATGCAGCGAACAGCGAAATTTGTCACACTAGCTTGCGTTTCCGGACTGACGCATTCGCAAACATTTGAATAGAAGTCTAGGGGGAGAAAAGTGCAACCTTAAGTGTGGTTTATTTATAAACTAATTTTGAGAGGATCACGTGCCTATGATCAACACAACTGGCAACTTATTAGTTCCGTAATCTGCCCCCCCCCCACCCCTACTTCTCAGCTTTAGTTCAGATAGGCAGACAAAGTAGCCCAGTGGCTAGCACTGTTGCCTAACAACAAGAACACAGCTGGTCCAACCAGGGGCTAGTTGGAATTTCTGTGCGGAGTTTCTATGTTCTTCGCGTTTTTGCTTGGGTTTTTCCCGGATTCCCCGGTTTCCTCCCACTGCCCAAAAGCAAACACCATAGCCAATCGACTAAACCAAATTATCACCCAAGACAACCTTAATTTACACTTCTCACACGTCGACAAGCAGGGGAGTTCTCGAGACCTACCTGAGCTCGAACACCCCTCTCGCCCTTTTAACGGGAGGGAGCCCCAGACTCAAGGATATTACGAGCTCAGGGCTCTCTTCCGCGACAGCATGAAAATGGTGCTTTAGTGATAATCACCTAAGTGTGAACTCTTGTATGATAATTGCTTGGACTTCATGGCTTGGTTTGTGCTCTGACATGTGCTGGGACCTTTAATATACTGGTGTGTGCCTTTCTGGATCATGTCCACTCAACTGAATTTAGCATAGGTATACTCTAATCAAACTGTAGAATCAGTGGAAACAGGAGCACCTGAGCAAAATGTTATACCATGACATAGATTTAATAATTATGTACATGTGATTGCTTCGTTTTTATTTTTTATGAATTTGCATTGATTTTAATCATATTTTCACACTTATTATCGGTATTGTTTGTAGAATTTTTGAAGAAAATAATATATTTAATCCACTTTGGAATAAGGCCTTCACATAAAATAAGGAAATAGTGTTGTGATGCTGCAGATATACTGATGCACTGTACAGGGTTCATACAGTCATGGGAAACCTGGAAAAGTTTTGCCATGGCATTTTCCAGACCCGGAAAAGTTTTGGAAAAGTCATGGAAAAAAGATATCTGAATATTTGATTATAGGTTTGTTGTCTTTACTTCTTTTCTGTCTTTAGCCAATCCCATCCTCTCACATTATTAATACGGTGTGAGCATTATCTAAATCACTTTTGCATAAATATATTGAAATTAAATAGATTGTTGAGTGTTTTACGATATGCTGTAATAAACTCGAGAATGCGTTGTTTTCCTTTTACCTGGCATATGTAGACATTGCATGAAACATTAGGTCATAAAAATTTACTTGAAAGTCTTGGAAAAATCATGGAAAAGTCACAGAATTTTGGTAGTTAAAATGTGTATGAGCCCTGGCTGTATTAAATTACTCTTATAACATTTCTCAATGTACATTAAGTCATTTATACCGAACATTTACTGTACTAAGTGGGGACAATGTCTTTTTAATCCCAACATAAAATGTTTATCGTCTCTCACCTGAACTTTTTGAAGAGAGTTCACAATACTTGTTTTCATCGCGCCGTCCATCACACCAAACACTACAAACGCATTTCCATCCATCTTCTTTCCAAACAGATACCTATGAAAACATATGCAGTTACTGCTGTAAAAACTGAATGATGACGTTAATGTTAATATTTCCACTGTCACAATTTCCAGCTGGAACGCCAACAAATCCATCCTGCTCCACTGAATCACACCCAGACTCCATTACCCATTACCCTTTGCATTGATCACCTCCACCGCTGACACGCATCATCTGGAATATTTAAGACTCTTTCTGTTAGGGCTGCTCGATTTTGGGAAAAATTATAATCAGGATTATTTTGGTCATAATTGTAATCACGATTATTCAAAACGATTACTGTTAAAGTCAAAATTATTAGCGCTCCTGAGAATTTTTTTTAAATAAATATTTTAAAAATGATGTTTAACAGAGCAAGGAATTTTAACTGTATTTCCTTTAATATTTTTTCTTCTGGAGAAAGGCTTTTGGCTGGAATAAAAGCAGGTTTAAATATTTTGAAACCCATTTTAAAGTCTATATTATTAGCCCCCTTAAGCAATATATTTTTTGATTGTCTGCAGAAGAAACTACTGTTATACAATGACCTGTCTAATAACACTAATTAAGCGTTTAAATCGCAGTTTGAATCTGAATGCATGCATTTTGAAAAACATTTAGTCAAATATTATGTGCTGTCATCATGACCAAGATTAAATAAATCAGTTATTAGAAATGAGTTATTAAAACTATTATATTTAGAAATCTTCTTTCCATTAAACAGAAATTGGGGGGGGAAATGGTTGCTAATATTCAGGACGGCTAATAATTCTGACTTGAACTGTACATATAGTTATTTTCCACCCTGTAAAGGAAAGATAAATAAATACAACAGAATAAAAATATAAAACAAACTGTGCTTTAAGCATATTCCCTTTAAGAAAAACATTTTAGCTACAAAAGTCCTTCAGTCAAGAGCAGAGAGGCATGTTCTTCATTTGCTGTTTAATTAATAATCATAAAAACAGGCGGCAGCAGGACTATCGCGCGCTGTCTCTTTAATGGTTTCTCTTTCGCGTGTCTTTTGATTCTCAACTTGTTTGTTTATTACACAAATGAGGGTTAATACGAATAATCACTAAACACCAAGTTTTGACACCTATTTGACCATTAAAGCGCTCACGTTTAGATGACTTAAGATGTGTGCGAACTCCTTGTCTCAGTGTGCGAGTGAGACCGAATGCTGACTGCATGCTTCTGTTCTGTGTGTGCGCGGCACACAGAATCATGCGGTCTTTCGCGCTTTTAAGAGCAACACATGTACAACTGGAAAGAAGGCGGTAAATTATGCAATAAATGTTTATCTCGATTAATGGTTTTTCATAATCGTTAGAAGCCAAAATCGAAATCAGATTTTCGATTAATTGCACAGCCCTACTTTCTGCATCTGAAATCACCTCTATATCATCACTCACTATTCCCTACATCAGTCAACTAATATAGTTGAAAGAATCAATGAAAGTGAGTTAATTGTATTGAATCTCTTTTTAATTGTCTTTTTCTGGTTGATAAATTAAATTGATTTTAAACTTCTTTTTCAGACCCCGCGATTGTTATTTAACACTTAGAAAGCTGTCTATTAGTAATGCAACTAAGTATTATGATTTCTGTCATGTATACAAACACACATTTAATTAAGTAATAATTTATTTTGAAACTTAACACTAACAGGATTCAGCTACGGATGCCTCGTGTGGTCAGACATGGAAATTCATACGATGTGCAAATTATCATGGTGCATTATGGGTATTCTGTAGACGTTGAGTGTTCAAAAAACCTTCGGTTGTGTTTTGATGTGGTTTTTGACTGTAGTTGTGAAGAAATTGTTCAGCGTAGTGATACAGCAAAACCTGCCGGATCTACATTAGCTGTGTGTTTGTCTTAAACTAAAAAATTCAACAGCCTTATAGTATAAATATATACTTGGAATCGATGTGTAAAAGATGAATTTTTATCAAATATATTTGGTCTTACTTGGCTTCCATGTCAACTGTCAGACTGTCGTCCTCGTTGTTCTTTGGTTTGCTGTCTCCCACATAGTAAAAAGATTTACTGGTTTTTAATTTCACTTCAAATGTTGGAAGAACTAAACAAAAGGATACACACAAATAGGTCAACACAATGCTGTATTTTAGTTGATCACATTCTTACAGGACATACGGTTTGTTGACACTCATCTTACCGTATTCTTTAACCTCAAACTCTGCAGTAAACGTCTTCTGAGGGGTGTTTGCATACCGCGTGACCACCTTCCACATCCCCAAACTACAGAAGAAAAACAGTTGTTCACAATTCATTGATTATTTTATAATTTTTACATTTATCATTTTTCGAAATATACCTGCTGCTTATACAATTGTGTTAGTTTTTTCAGCCAAGAGTAGTTTAATCGCACTGGTAATCTCATCTACACTTCTAGGGCTCTATTTTGACGATCCATGCACAATTGCATATTTGCTATTTTATGGGAGGAAAAATCCGCTTTGCACCGTGACCAATGCAGGTCACTTGGTGCACGACTCGCCACCTCTCCCTCTCTCTTTCTCTCTGTCCTGTGATGACAGTCACGCATACGCATTTGTAGGCATAAATAAATAATATTTATTATTTAATACTTTGTTTTTTTATGATGGTATAACAGTATTGAAACTGACACCGTTGCTATTTTTAGATCCCGGGGTATACCATATTACCGTTTTACCGCCCAAGCCTAGTGCATATGGCTCCTAAATAGCATAATAGTCTTAGAAATAGTGGATTTCTATTATTTCAACAGCCTTTTTAAAATAACTTTAACCCATTGAAAAGAAAAGGTGTATAACAGAGTCATAATAAATGAAAATCAAGTTAAAAATCACATTATTTTTTGTTTGTCATTTGTAGTTGACCATTTATGTGCTGTGGGAAAAAGGTGTTTTTAATCCAGCTACCACTGCAAGTATATTTCAAACCCGTGGAAAGCCCTGTGCACTAAGGTGATCTCACGAGGAAATTTAGCTATTTTACGTTTAGTGGCTATTTTGTACAAGTTCAGAATGTAAACTGCAAAAAATGCTTTTCTTACTTAAATGTTTTGTCTTGTTTGTAGTCCAAATATCTAAAAATTCCTAAATCAATGAGAATTTTCTAGACAAGCAAAACATATTGTCTTGTTTTGAAAAATAAAATGCCAATATTAAGTGAGTTTTTCCTTAAAACAAGCAAAATAATCTGCTAATGGGGTAAGCAAAATAATCTTACGTCAAAAGAAAAAACAAGATTATTTTGCTTAACCTCTCATCTGTGTCTGTAATCTTCAGCAGCACGTGTAGCCTCTGTTAGAGAGCAATTCCATCATTCTTAGTTCATAATATATTAGTCCAAAAGGTGATAATAATAATAGATAAACATGGCAGTTTGTTCACGTTTGCTGAAAAAATAATGTTCCGGCTTCTCCTTTTTTTCTGTGCTTCACTCTCGCATTTGTCCTTTTCTTTCCAAATGTGTCACTAACGCGTTTGTCAGCTTCTCACAGGATCGGGTGTCAAAGCACATCAATAATTAAGCGCACGTTATTATCATCAGCTCAAGAAGTTTGTTATTTTAGATATAGACGCGCGGCGAGCGCAAGCTAGAAAGCGAAACTGCTCACGCTTCAGACTGGCTCATGAAAAACAACCAGGCACAGGATAAATTCTGCTCTTCTTTTTGGCTTTGTGGCTGTTCATCAAGATGACCACAAGGTTTGTTTGAGCCTGGATCGACCATGACTCGTTATTATATGTATGTATAATTCCGCTGTAATCTCTCCGCTGTGTATTTTTAACATGGCAGTTCTTTTGTTTACATTCTGGCTTGTTGTGTAAGCGAATGACGTATAACCAATAGTGTTAGGCTGTGCGTCTTGCTCCACCTTTTGGTACCCTTTCTCGTGTTTGATACCCTTTCGAAAGGGTGCCAAGAAAGTGGTACTGTGTGGTTCAGTTCGGTACGCCTTTTGACTTGTACGCCTTTTGCCATAAAAGCATACCAAACCAAACTGTACTGTACTGTACCGTACCACTCAGTGGAAACAGGCCATAAATATAATCCAAAAAAAATCAGATCACATGTTATCTCCCAAATTTTGTCATGTATTTTGTAATCAGTAACTGATTCCTGAATAATCCACCGAACTCTTCAGATACTTTCCTGAATTAAATGTAAATGCAACTCGCAATTCAGTTTGGCCAGTTAACTCTAGTTGAATCGTATTAGTCCCAACAGTGATTTACACACCTAGTAACCTCAGGGATGTTGTAGATCGAAGATTTCACACCTTTTTCTGCAAATATCGTGTCTGATGCTACCGTGATGCCTTGTGGATTCTTAAGAAACACAGAAATCATCATTACAGGCCTGTTCACACAGATAATAAATTGTTTAGCATCCAGTGTTGTCATTTATTACTTCAAATGCTTGTGCTCTTAAGCTGGCTGTCAACGTTTTTTTAGTTATTGTAAACAAAGTCATCTACAGGGAGAGTGAAAGTACATGCAAATATGGACTTTAATCAGTTTTTATGTTAACCTGTGCTTGATTTTTTTTACTGATGGAGTTCTGTTATGAGTGCTGTTACTGTTATAGTTCAACTTCTTACATATTTTGAATGTACTGGTGTCGTTATAGTTTTCATTCTAGGTGTGAAAATAAACACTGTACCGTGATATCCACTGTGATTCCGGGCTTACTGAATGGTTTCAAGTTGGGTGTCATAGAAAAAATCCTGTAATGAACTGCAAAAAAGTCAAAACAAAACTGCAGCATCATATTAAAAATGCAAACCCTGAAATACTGAGAAATGCAAAACCTTAATACTGAAAAATTAAACTTTTGATGCTGAAAATTGCACATCCTCAGTATTGAAAAATGCAAACACTTGATGGTGAAAAAAAAACGATACTGAAAAATGTAAACGCTTGATGGTGAAAAATTAAACTGGAACTAAAAAAATACAAATAAAAATATAGCATAAACGCTTGATGCTGAAAAATAAACAGATGCTGAAAAATGAAAACGCTTGATGCTGAAAAATAAACAGATGCTGAAAAATGAAAACGCTTGATGCTAAAAATTAAACAGATGCTGAAATATGAAAACGCTTGATGCTGAAAAATAAACGGATATGAAAAATGAAAACGCTTGATGCTGAAAAACAAACGGATATGAAAAATGAAAACGCTTGATGCTGAAAAATAAACAGATGCTGAAAAATGAAAACGCTTGATGCTGAAAAATAAACAGATACTGAAAAATAAACAGATGCTGAAAAATGAAAACGCTTGATGCTGAAAAATAAACAGATGCTGAAAAATAAACAGATGCTGAAAAATAAACAGATGCTGAAAAATGAAAACGCTTGATGCTAAAAATTAAACAGATACTGAAATATGAAAACGCTTGATGCTGAAAAACAAACGGATATGAAAAATGAAAACGCTTGATGCTGAAAAACAAACGGATATGAAAAATGAAAACGCTTGATGCTGAAAAACAAACGGATATGAAAAATGAAAACGCTTGATGCTGAAAAATAAACAGATGCTGAAAAATAAACAGATGCTGAAAAATGAAAACGCTTGATGCTAAAAATTAAACAGATACTGAAATATGAAAACGCTTGATGCTGAAAAACAAACGGATATGAAAAATGAAAACGCTTGATGCTGAAAAATAAACAGATACTGAAAAATGAAAACACTTGATGCTGAAAAATAAACAGATGCTGAAAAATAAACAGATGCTGAAAAATGAAAACGCTTGATGCTGAAAAATAAACAGATACTGAAAAATAAACAGATGCTGAAAAATGAAAACGCTTGATGCTGAAAAATAAACAGATACTGAAATATGAAAACGCTTGATGCTGAAAAACAAACGGATATGAAAAATGAAATTGCTTGATGCTGAAAAATAAACAGATACTGAAAAATGAAAACACTTGATGCTGAAAAATAAACAGATGCTGAAAAATGAAAACGCTTGATGCTGAAAAATAAACAGATACTGAAAAATAAACAGATGCTGAAAAATGAAAACGCTTGATGCTGAAAAATAAACAGATGCTGAAAAATGAAAACACTTGATGCTGAAAAATAAACAGATGCTGAAAAATGAAAACACTTGATGCTGAAAAATAAACAGATATGAAAAATGAAAACCCTTGATGCTGAAAAATAAACAGATGCTGATAAATAAATACTGAAAACTGTAAACGCTTAAGGCTGATAAATAAACAGATACTGAAAAATGAAAACGCTTAAGGCTGATAAATAAACAGATACTGAAAAATAAACTGATACTGAAAAATCTAAACGCTTGATGCTGAAAAATGAAGCGTTTAATACTGAAAAATACTCAAAAATGTAAATCTCATAAAATAAAAAATTCACAAATATAAATATATCATGGTTAAATTCATAAATACTTTTGTTTTTAGCACTTTAACTTACCATTGCTGCCAGGCGTGTAGATGGGCTTGTCCGTCTGAACAAACAAATATCCAGACTGAAAAGACACCATGACCACTTTCTCCAGAGTCACGGAGGGAAAGTGAGCTTGCAGATACACATACTGCTTCTTCTCATCATCAGAGAAGTAGTTTCTATCACCAGGGATCTATTGTAACAGAAAAGTATACACTTCTACTATATACAACCCAAAATATCCTAGTGTACATGACCAATATGCATTGCACATATTGTACTCTTATATAAGGGTAAAGTTGACCTGTATATCTGTAAGACTCTGGTATTTTGCTCCGGTTAGAGTCACTGTTTTTTGCATCATCTCCACATTCTTGGCTGGGAAGTTCTTCACAGAGATTCTCACATTAAGGGGTCCTCCAGAATAATCCTGCGCCTCCACAAACACGTTCTCAGAGGAACCCACTCTCAGCAGATTAGGAGCCGACAGCACATATCTGAGGAGATCAAATCAGAGCACTTCCATTTAAATGACTTTAGTGTTTTTCAAATGTACTGAGTAAAAAGCATAACAAAGTGGAAGGGATACAAGTTTTATATAGGCTCAAGCTTCTGCAAAAACAAAATTGATTATGAGAATGTCCATAACTATGGATTGATCTAATCAATTTGGTAAAACTTTACCTGATTTGACCAAGTAGGTCATGTGCTTGAATGAACATCTTATGTTGATCCTGGAACAACATTCCAATCAGCCAATCAAAATTAAGGGATATGTTTACAGTTTATGTTAAGTTTAAACTTCTACATGGTTGTTATCTAACTATTATACTCTTCTGATTTTGGTAATAATTTACAGTTATGTTTGGGTTTATGGGTATGGATTGGATATGGATTACATTTTCGAACATAAATGATGTTCCGGGATCAACAGACTGTGTAAATGTTAATCAAGGATCGCATCATACTTGGGCAAAATCATGACGTGCGGTGTTCGTAAGACTGTCATGAAACCTTAATAATCATGCCATCGTTCATACGTGAATGAGATTTTATTCATGCTTATAACAACTGTATCAAGTGTCGTTCACTCATTCATGTCATTTTAAAGGTTCACGAAACCACCGAGTACTTTTTTTGAGATGTTAACAGATATGTGTGTGTGTGTTGAGTATCGGTTAAGACAATGTTAGCACCTGTCAGCTTTAATTGTGGGGAAAACTGGATAATTTTGAGCTTTTGTCAGCTCATTTCAGCTTCCGGGTTTAAAATTATTATTGGGGCGGATCAAAATTGGTGACGTATCACAAAATCGCAAGTGCAAAGATGATGCATCGGTTTCTCATTATTATTCATAACGGAGTTTTCTTATCCTATGAGAAGAGCCTGCTTCTTAATTATTCATAAGAGCACGTGCTTTTCAAAGGCTAGGCAGACCTGCCAGTGCCAAGCTGGGAGACACGTTGATGACTGGGTGAGATGCGTCCACAGACCCATGGCACACAGTATTTAGCTGTTCATGAAGGCTCGTATGTGTTTGTTTCCATGATCCACGCGGTTTGTTGCATGTTTTTTCCTGTGTGCAGTGTATATTACCTTTTGGAGTCACTCTCTTGACATTGCAAATTCAGGACGCATAAAATCGTTACGCACGATTCTTTCATATTCACGATTCCTGCCGTTAATCCGCTGGCCAGATAATCAAAAAGTCAGCTACTTGATGTTTAACTAATGGGGGGAGGGGGGGGGGGGGGTAGATAAAATCAATAGCCATTAATCAATAGCCATAAATCAATAGCCATAAGTCCTTAAAGCATAATCTCATTTTAAAAATCACGCGGCCATCTCACAATGTTTAATAATCTTATTTTTTATTAAAATAAAAGGCATTTAGCAATGCCACGCTACTGACAAGTCAACTGCAGAGAAACAAAGCAACCATTGCGGCAACCGCAGTGAAAACCATCGCGGCAACCGCAGTGATCACTTTTTCCAAAGTTCAGCTCTTCTTTTTTGCACTTGATTATTATACGTTCTCTGTATGTAAGAAGGTACACCAGAGGCTCTTCTGTGACTGATGTCTTCATACCGAAGTTCCCTTCTTCATAAGTTAAAAAACCAGTATGCCCTCAAGTGAATCTTATCATTTGACTTTTCCCCGAGTTCGAACTGAAATAGGCAAGAAAGCCTTTAGTCATGCCGCCCCCTTATCCTGGAATACTCTTCAGTCTTAATTAAACATGTCTGAGCTCATCCCGAATAAATCATTGCGCTCTCTCCTTTTTAACAAACAACAACAGTTCATTTCTCAATGTATGTGGTTTTAAAAAATTGTAATGCGATATAGTCAAATAAATAAACTGTATTTTTATCTTAATGTTCCATTTATTATTATTGATATTATTATTATTATTTCACAACCTGTGAATGAGATCTTGATCTCAATGGGTTTTTATCTGGTTAAATAAAGAAACATATATTTTGTGGCTTTTTTTTAAAAGAATTGGTTCATGCACCTTCTTGCACTGTTTAAAATTATTTAATTGGCATCGTTATTGAAAAGAAACAAAACAAGCGATACCCAAGCGTATTGAGAAGTGCTGGTGTAGTGGATGTGTGAGAGAGTGTGTAATACTCACAGCGGGTCACACAGTGTGAGGAGCGCTGAGGAGAGAAGAACAGCAGAGAGAAACAGCAGCTTCACCTCCATCCTGACTGTGTTTCTGTAAACCTGCAGACGCTCACATTTATACCAGCAGCGCTCACAGTCCAAACTACACTCTCTCTCTCTCTCTCTTGCTTTATCGCTGTGAGATTATTTCTTGCAGTATTGCCAAACTTGTGTACAATGTGGAGTACGGTTACATTTTCAAAAGAATAAAAGATGCTATGAATGAGAAATAAATGACAGAATCGAATTTCTTTTGTAGTAATTACAATTATAAACAGTGTGGATTATATAGAATCATGGAAAAAACTAAAATAAATAGGTTAACAATTTCTTTTAGTGAGGATGGTGCAAGTATATATTTTAGTTGCTAATCTAGCTGCTCTAACAGATAAACAAAGCCTTTTAGCATATTTGTGGCAGAAAATAGGAAAGTGTTTCACACACTTTATTTGGATTCCCTCTCTCTAAGGTTACGTCGACACTAATCCAAAAAAAATCTCTAAAATTTGTCTTAAAGCGCTTCGTGTCCACACTATCGTGTTTAATTCGTTCAGGAAAAATGGTCATCCACTCTACAACTGAAAACACTTTCGTTCAGGTACTGCGCATGCGCAAAGACATAAGAAGATTTTACCTTCATCATAATACACCTGACTTTCATTTCTTGAGTGATTTTTTTTTTTCTTTCGTTTTTTTCGTTCATTTGTTCGTTGTCTTTGGTCAAAGCTTTCAAAGAAGTGACGCGGGCATCTACCTCGGTTAATGATTCCTCGACATCTTTCAGTCCCCCCCCCCTGGGTTTGCTTTCACAGCTGAAATGAAGTTTTTTAGCTCTGAAAGAATCTCCACTCAGAGTGCTGCGACTTCTGATCTGATGCCCTCGAGAAGCTCACAGATGTTGTCTCCCTGTGTCAAAGCCGCCATGCACCCACTGCTTGCATGTGATTCTCCTCAGTTAACGAAAATGTATTAGTGTGGACATGGCCTAAATAAAGGGTTCCCAAACTTTTCAGTCCGTAACCCCTAAAATAACAATGCCAGTGACTTGCGATCCCCACATTCCTCAGAGGTGGAAATAAATATACAAATGTTGCACACACAACAATAGGCCTAAATAAACACGAGCATATTGACAACACAAAAATAATCAGCAACCATAGGCTATAATTTATGTAGTCATTTATTAATGTTTAATTTAACATTGAGACTGGTGGGGACAGTGTACAGAGACCACCACTCCACTTCAGACCGCCACTTGGATCATCCTTAATGGATCATCCTTAATGTTCAGTTGAGGCCTGTATTTATTTTTAACGTATTTAATTGCAATAAAAGTGTCAGAAAGTTTAACCTGGTGCTATAAAATCAGTTGACGCTATTGCTATTGCTGTATTGTTAATCTAACGTAAATTTACCAATCCTATGAAAATAAATTAAAGGCTGATTTATTTGCATGTTGTTGCTTTTTTGTGTAACTATTAACTACTTTTTTAATCTTCTGTGGGTTATGAATAAAATATGGTAATTCTAATAGTTTAATTAAATTTATTTGACTTCTGGAAATCACCAGGCAACCCCCTATCATTGTCCCGCAACCCACATTTTGGGAACCACTGGCCTAAATAAGATTTCTATTTACAAGCAGCGACATTATAGAATCAATGGTGCAAGCAAATCCAAAATTGGAAAATTGAAAATTCCAGTTCTGTTGTAAAGCAGAAGTTCTATACTCAGAACATTATAATCTTATTTAACAGTTTTAAAGCTGTACATATTGTGTAAAATATTTAAATTCATTCACACGAGTGCAGAGAAACAAACTATTTAAATCCAGACCAGTTTAATGTATACAGTGAAAACAAATAGACAAGAGTTACCACAATCAGATTCAGATTTCCTGTAAATGACCTGCAAAGGCAGTTGTGCAAACACAACCTTTGGTAACTGGCACCTGTTCTGTTGATTTTTGGAAGGTTGAGAGTATTATTGAACGTTTCAGCACAACACAACACATGCAGCCTGTGTAGGACGAGCATGTGGTATTGAGAACGAATGATAGATGGACTTTCCAAATTCATTAGTTTTGACTTGAATGAAAAAGTAGAGATGTTCTTTAGAGCAACTGAGCACTTTTAAGGTTTAGGTTTGGCGTATGGGCTTGATTTTTGACTGTAATGGGCTACAGGCACAGCTAGTGCTTTTCAGCCATTGATAAGCTTTCGGTAAAAGCTTAATTCCTTTTACAGCATCAATGTTGAAGTGTACTTAGAGTACATTCAGTTAACTAGACTTAAGCATTCATTTAGTTGTTCAAGCCTTAAACGAGATGAAAGTTGTTAGTGCCATCATTTCCAGCATAGCGCAGAAACTCCATTGAAAATACTGGGATGGGCTGCACAATTCTAAAGTTAAGATCACGATTTTCTCACAATTCTGTAGGTGTAAAATTAAGGTTATTGTGAGTCGCCTATAATTATTATTGTTTCTCAAACATATGGTAATTTAACAATATTAGGCCTGTGTGTAGGTCTACTGTTAAAATGCTCAATTTTGTATAGATTTCGAATGATGGACTTGAACAGACTTTAAATTTGTCCTGTTCGTAAATGTACAGTAAAGTGAAGACATCAGAATACAACCATTCATAATTCTAAAGTTGATTTATTATGTTTGAGACATGTGCTTGTCATTTGTTATTGACAACATTATTACACCATTTATGTACTGGTGAAATGAGACATTTGTCATTATCAGATTCCCTCTTGCATTATATTCAACATTATATAGGCTAAAGTAGTTACACTGACACTGTTAAACATGTATTTCCATGCACAGCACTTTGTGTTCACCATGAAAGAAAAAAAGTTGAATGCTTGTCGTAATCATAACTCTAAAATGCGATATGATTATTGAAATGATGTGCGTACCGGTTTCACTTTCAGTGCTGAATGCGGTTTATGTCATGGCTATCGTCACTTAAGCAAAAAAACATAAATGCAGATCTAATTTCCCACGCGGCTCCCTAATGATCCCTCAAAAATCATTTACAACTGTATTACCTGTTATTCACAGCCTATGCAGGTTCTGTCCACTAAAGTGCACATCATTGCTGGGCACGCACACGTCCTCTTGGTAGTAATCGAACAGTGTGTCAGCTCATGCGTGATTTCGTGGCCGTGAATACGTCATTACATGAAGACATTCAAGAGTTCACACTTAGCTCATGATTTATACATAGCTTGTTTGACATGCTGTCCCGGGAGAGAGCCCTGAGCTCAAGGGATCCTCGAGCCCAGGGCTCCCCCCCTTTTGCAGGGCGAGTGGAGATTGAGCTCAGGTCTATCTCAAACTCCCCCGCTGCTGAGGCCAAGGCAAACTTCCTGAGAGTAAGACATTATAAAAAAGGTTTAGGCTTGTTTTATCTATAATATACAGCACATTTGGATGGTGGGAGGAAACCGGGGAACCCGGGGGAAACCCACGCGGACACGGGGAGAACATGCAAACTCCACACAGAAATACCAGATGGCTCAGCAAGGACCCAACACCATTGGTATTCTTGCTGTGATGCAACAGTGCTAGTCACTGGGCCACCGTGCCGCCCATTCTGGATAAAGGAGGAAGAAGGGGAGGAGGGGGGTTTCTTCCAGACGAAGATAGTTGTAGAAAGGAAATGAGGATATATATAGTGATTTGGGATCCTTTGATTGGAGGATCATAATTAGTTAATGTGGACCAGCTGGGTCAATCATGAGCACATGCTCCTCTCGAAATTAGTTTAAAACTAAACTTCACAAAGTGACATTTTTGGGTGAATTATACCTTGTAAATACAGCATGTGACACTTTTAACACCATTTGGAGGTGAGAAATGTATTTAAAAAAATGTGAAGACTGGACTGTTTTTATACATCTGTTTGCACCCGTGTTGACCATTGCTTGCCTCACATCCTTAATAAACCTGCATGTGGATCCGAACTCAGTTGTACAGTCTCTTTATACAGAATGATGTCAAAAATAAGAGAAAAGCAGAATTGTTTGATTCGAGAGATTTATACCAGTTCATATCCAATTCCCCACATTGGTGTAGAATAAATTGAGTAGAATAAACAAGTACAATAAAGAGAGGGAATCAACTCTTAAAACTGGATTGTTCTGTGTGATTTGGAAAAGAAACACATAGCATTGTTATTTTATTATTATTCTTTATTTGAACACAATTGACACATTTTCAGCCCAAAGATTTCTTTGGTGGAATGCATTACTTGCATTTAGGTATAATGGGGGTATATTTTGTTTAGCCGGAGTTTGAAATAGCTTGCTTTATCTTATGGCTGTTGGAAATAATACGCATGTATCAGATGGTTGTTAAGAGTTCACACCTAGCTAATAATTGGTAATAAAGCATGTTTGGCATTCTGTCCCAGGAGAGAGTAGATCTTTAGTAAACGCTCTGGTTGGAAATGCTATAAGTGGATTTAATCCACGTATGGGGATTTCGTTTCAGAAAGCCAATCTTCTGAAAGTTTATAACGGGCCAATGAAATGCCAAATGAGTTAGCAGCATAAGCTTGCGCACCTGTGGCTTATTGCAATCAACTCCGCATATAAGCACAGGCAAAGGCAGGAAACGCTATCCTTTTAAGCTGAAGAGACTGACACTTACAGCTAAGTATCAATCATTAGGGCGATGCTATATAGCATTTCCGTTCCCCTCCTCGGGGAACAAGGGTTACTTTAGTAACCAGAGGGTTCCCCTTCAGATGGGGAACTTCAATGCTATGAGTGGATTTAATCCACGTTTAAGGAAATGTCTGGAAAACGCCATAATGACTGCACCTTACCTTCGCCTCCGATGAGAGGATAGTCCAGCTCCAGCCCGAGAAAAGAGATCCCCTGCACGGGAGCGAGTTTGCTCTTTTCTTGGTTGACCTGAAGCCCCAACAGGTGGAGGTGCCGGAGCACCTTGTCTCTGTGCATAATCAATTGCTCCCGAGAGTGGGCTAAAATCAGCCAGTTGTTGAGATAATTGAGTATGTGGATGCCCGCAAGCCAAAGGGGCGCTAAGGCACCCTCCGTGAGCTTGGTGAAGAACCGCGGAAACA